CTGGGGATCTACCTTTTGGGCACCCCTGATCTATAAAATAACTGTTAGTCATGCCACCCACACATAAATTTGTAAGTGAATTTCCCAAGACTGTCATCCAATCTTGAAATGCTGGTCAAACATTCGGTTGCCATGGTTAGAATATAATTTGACTATATTTTTCCTTACTCTAAATATGATTTAAAGAGGCGCTTCTAAGTGTCATAATCATGACAAGTGTATTGTAAATACGCTGACAGGAGTCACTTGGAATTTACACAGAGCAGTTACAATACCAGGCAAGTTGGGGTGAACAGCATTTGACCAGATAACAGAGTCTAACCTAACATGGCTGCTAAAGTAGACAAATTTAAATGATTTAAAAAACAAAACAAAAAACTATTACTTATTAATTGTAATAAGCTTTTCAAAAACAATAAGGAAAAATTTGATGGCAATATAAATTTTGTCCCTAACAGAATTCATTGTCAGTGTGTCATCTCAAACGTTAAGCCCATAAATCATGTCCAAAGTTGGTCTAAAATTAATATTGCTAAAGAGCAATGAAAATGCCATCTTTAGACGATAAGAGATGTCCAGGAGACCAATGTAAGTGTCAAATAGTTTGATAAGTTTTGAGTGATGCCCTAAGGTGGGATGATTCCAGGGGGCTCCTGCCATCATAACACTTTCAGCGCACAGTGGAGGTTAGGGTGCTTAGAGAGCCACCTTTAAATATAGCAAATTGACAATAACATTGATATATTACAACTATCCCCTCTTCATATACTATAGGTTAAGGTTCTCTTACAGTAAAAGAAAATTAAATCAATGGATTAGCGACTTACTGCCAAGACTGGCAGCGGTACAGGTGTAGTAGAAATAATTCGACCTTCATGTAAGGCCAATTGATAAGCCAACAATCAAGGCAATTACACCAATCAGCAGCAGTATAAAAAGGGCAGCTATCCAATATTTCTGTCAAAGAAAGAGAGTTACAACACATGTTTTGTAAAAACAGTCATGCAATGATCTTTACGTTTGGTAAGTGGTTAAATACAGACAATAGGGAAGTGACAGATATGCTTATATTTAATTTGCAGTCTAAGAAGCAACCTGTTCACTTCTGCTGCTTTACCATAATTAAAGTTTATGGATAAGTAGATTTGAATAAATCATTACACGGGGCAGGGGGAAATCTTACTGTTGTCTGTGAGCAGATATCGCAAGCTAGAAGGAGAAGCTCTTGATCTGTTGATAACAGAAAAACGCAAGGCATGCAACACTCAACACAATTAGTATGCTGAAAAAGCAATTAAGTGACAAATCATGCAGAGGTACAGATAATGGGAAAATAAAGAATTCAAATGATCACAAGTCTTCTACATTTTAGAATTTTGGTCTGACTATTTACAAGTTTACAGAGCACATGCATTCATTAGCATTTACGAATATAGAAACCAGACAGTATAAAAGAAGCTTTCTTATAATTATTCTGCTCTCAAGTCACTCTGTTGCAGAGGTCCAAACTGCTGTCCACTTGACACTGTTGGATTACAATTCCCAACTCTCTCTCTCTCGATGCTTTGACAGCAGAGAATTATAGGAACTGTATTTCATCTGAACCTGCAGTTCAAACTATTTTATAAAGCCTTTCATAATGACATACCAATAGCAAGAGGAATGCCTAGACTTTGCCTGGTAATCCACAATGATAATAGTGCCAAAAGGTAAGACATCACTATGCTTGAGTGGCAATAGGAGGCATTTTCTAATGTTCTTGGTAAGGTATAAGAATAAAATGTAAATATATGTAGGCAGAATGCGGATGAGCGAATAGATGAGGATTTTGTTTGGTTAAATAGAAACGGTTGAAATTATGAGACAATACCAAATAACACACGCCAGATTTCTGATAAGTTCAAACATTTTCTTCCCATACGGAAAATGCTGATTTTTCCAGACAAGCGTCATTCAGAGGGGTTATTCATGAATGGGATTAATAACATAATTAGCACAATTACATTAGTTGCAAATAAATCCACGAGGGAAAACTTAAGGTAATGAGCAAAGACATAGTGTAAAACACACACACACTTTATATATGCATGTTTGTATATGCATTGTATAAAATATACAATACCTTGCCACAAGGTAGATGAAAAGTTAAACTGTTTGGGTGCATAACACAAATAAACATACCTGAACCCCCCCACCCCCCCCGCCGAAAAAAAACCCTGATATGCTTAACGGGACACTATAGACACCCAGATGATTTCAGTTAATTGAAGTGGTTTGGGTACATAGTCCCAGGTCCCTGCAGCCTGCAAAGATAATTACTGCAGTTTAATAAACTGCAATAATTACTTTGGAGGGTTAACTCCACCTATAGCCACTAGAGGGACTTCCGGGTCGATAGGCAACTTTTTGTTGCCTAATTGACCGCTAAGCATGAGGACATCCAGCGTCATGTGAAACCCCATAGAAAAGCATGGAGTTTCTAATGCAAGCACGGCCATTGCCATGTATGCACATTAGGTCTCCCATGCCGACTGATGTCTGTGGGGGAGAAGTAAGGCAGTGCCTGACCCAGCACCGAGGCACATCTGAGCTGGACTCTGGTAAGTGACAGAAGGGGTTTTTTAACCCACTCATGCAAGTATGCATAAGTGAGTCCAGAGAATGAAAGACTTGGACCATACATTTAAAAGACACTGGGAGATTGCCTTTATAAATTGCCTTTTATAGTTGCAACCTTCTGTCAGTCAGTAAGTCAGGTGGTGCTATCCTCCATGACTTGTGTGACACACGCTCCTTCCCATTGACGTTTCCCACGAACTCCTGGAAGAGTGTGGAAGCTGGCCTCCTGCCCACCGACTATGGTCTGGGACGCCGTTCGGAAGTTAACCAGCCCAGCCACCCTTAGCAGCTTTCCTTCGGTGCCCCTGGTTCGGCACTTTTCCTTCTAACGAACTGAACCGAGCACTAGCTCCTGTCGGCCGTACGCATGAACAAACGCACGAACAGTCCTCTGTGGTAGTTAGCCTCCACTGCTATGGAACTATTTTTGGCATGAGGACTTCCCGGTCACCTTGGATTTTTCGTGCAAACTTACCCACAAACAGTCCTCCGTGGTATTTAGCTGCAAAATGGTTTCGGTAAGGTGCCTGAGACTAAGAGGAACAAACGCTCCCTGAAACTCAGGTGGAGCACCTGTATTTTGTCCGCCGGAGCTCCCAAAAGTTGACCGGCCAAAGCACACATTGCTCTGGAACTATTCACGTGTGCGGCCGGTCAAAACGTTACCCCGGTGCATGGATCGGAGCGCTATTTGGACAACCTGGGTGTCAGATCAGGGCTGGGAATATAGGACATGTAGGGTTACTGTATGTTTTGGAGTACTTTTAGGTTTTTACATTTGGTTCTCTGAATCTGGGAGATAATTAACTTACCGATGTTTAACTTCATTACTTCCCAGGCACAGAGACTCTACGGAGGGGCTTGTATTGTGTTGTATGCAGACCTCCTGCTGGGGTCTGTGCATAAAAGAGTTTGGCTCATTAAAATCAGTTGTACTTCCAGAGCTATGTGTTGGGAGGGTAAAGAGCTATTCACTTCCCCGATCTTATTCCAGCTCGTGGAGGATTCAGCGGGGAAAATCCTTATAAGGACTATATCTCCCAGGAAGGTATGTCATCCAGTCCCTGGGAGGAAATAGAGCTAGTTCTCTATCCTGTTCCAGGACAGAGAGGCTCCAGGAGAACCCCAGTCAAGACACAGCGACTGGGGCAGAAGCGCTGAGGTTTCTCTGGTTCCAGCTAGGAAGCGATCCTTGGCGGAGGTACCCAACCGGGTACAGGTAGCTCCACTACAGCTCGGTCCCATAACACAAAGCAGAATGCAATGTATTTTACAGTGTAGCATTTGATTGGCCAGGAGATATCACTAGAGATGATCTCATGGAGGGAGGAACCTTTTTACTGCAGGATTGGAAATAAATGAATTCTTTAAACATACATTTATATTTTATAATTTATTTATTTTTTTGCAGGAAATGAAGAAAACACTAAACTCTACAACACTCCAATGTTATAAACCAATGTATTTATTTTTAACACTGGAGTGAGTCATTAAAGCAGGGGTCAGCAGCCTTATGTGTCACAGACAAACCCAACCACCCACACATACACATACTCTCACCCGACCATCATAAGAAAGACTCTGCACCATCTCCCCCTCCCATAGACATACTGATGCCCAAAACACACACATATTCTAAACCATACACATTGACATTCCTTCATTGGCAGCATATAAACCATAGGCCATGCAGGAGAGAAGGGATACTATGCTGCCTGGTTCCCTGGTCTTGGTTAGTGTAAAAAGGAGTCAGAGTCTTACTCTGGCTCTCCTGACTCATTCGTCACTGGAAGGAGACCCTTCACATTATGACTGGCCAGGGCACACAAAGGGGATAGCGAGCAAGTCAGAGTTATAATGAAGTCATCTGAACGAATATGTATTATTTGCTGGAAATCAGATAACAGTGGGGGAGATTTTGCAATGCTCCATCTCAGTTCTATTTCCAGTGCAGCTATGCAAGCCGGCTGATAGCGAACTCTTGGGCAGAAAGCCCATAATTTTCACATGGGTAATAACAGGTAAGTGCTATATATGATAGCCTTACAATAAGCTTGAAAAAGCCCGGTACAGCGGGCGAAACATGATGAAGTGCGACCGACATTCATGAACAGAGGTCTGATTATTACAGCCTGATTCACATCGATTCCACACTAAGGTCTCCAGTTTGCACGAAACACTCTGCTTTATCAGCGCTGAGATCAGGCGGGAGCTTGCACTGCAGGGACCAGTGGATGGTAAACGGCTGTCAAGCCTCTGATTCTTTTAAATTTGTATGTGGTATCTTGGACACGAGTACCACCACTTGCTGATGTAAGTATTTTTATTTGGTGGTAAGGGAATCTTTTTACACAAATAAAAGCAGTATTATACTATGGAAAGCTTTTTGTGTAGCCTTTTAAGGTGCAATCTACATTGAGATACAGTGTATCCACAGATGCTACATCTCTGCTGCAGGACAAGATTAACCCTTTAAAGACTTTTACCCAGAACTTTTGGACTCTTAAGCACGTTTTATATATTTTTTTTCTGTGCATAAATCAAACTTATTGTGATATATAAAGTTTGATATATATACTACTAATTCACAGTTATAAATTGTTTGTTTTCACATTTACAATGATTGCCTATTGTAAGGCTATCATATATAGCGCTGACACTCATTTTATGAATATTATTTAGGTAAAGATTTTAAGGAACTTTATTTTGTGTATAGCCGCTGAATCACATCATTAATTTAAGGAATTTAAATTTATCACGGTTGCGCTCTCCTGTGCAATTTAATAACAGGTAAGTATTTTGCAGTGGGCGGGTTGTTTTCAAACACATAAACAAAGAAACATAGGGCTATCCCTGGGCCCATATTTTACAAGTGGGGCAATTACCCTTTAGAATTATCTGTACAAATCTTGCTCACCATCCCACTACACAGCAACTATCAAGTGTGGCTCTTGTAATTTGTCATTAAAACTATCTCAATCTGATGTTATGTATTTGGCACATAACTTTTGACCAATGTTACTTACCCTGCGGGATTTACTCTGATATTTCACTGCTTTTTTTGTCTCCTCTTTGGCATTTTCAATGTACTCGGCAGCATTTTCAACATTCTTCTCAATGTTGTTAATCATTTCCCCCTAGGCCAAAATAAAAGAACAGTGCAAAGAATATGATTAGCAGGCCAATGCACTTTTTGAACATAAATAAATAAATACATTTAAAAAAATAAACTCAAATTTTACTAATCATAACTTATTTTTCCTTGGTATCAGTGGCGGTACAGTAGGGGAATGTTCCTTTTCATATGAACAGGTAGCCTCCTCCAAAAAAAGTAACCAATTAGCTGCCCCACCACGTTTGCAGCCCATAAATAACAAACTGCTAAGCATTCACAGTTAAACTAAAGAAATAAAAAAGAAACCAACTCAAAAGTATGACAAAATATGTCAGTGTATGTAAATAAGGTGAGTGTATGTACTGCCGCTGATAATATGGGAAAAACAGTGAGTAAAATGTCTATTTTTCCCCTGTGTACAGCGAAAGTACAGTGCGGAGAAAGGAAGAACGCCCAAGAAGGGTGGGTAACTAAAGTCACGGTTGCTTATAACACCTTGCACCCAAGGGATGCTTCCATTAATGCCAAGGCGTCTAGCTGCTAGTGCTTGTTAAAAGTATTAAATGAGAACCATGTAGCTGCTTTGCAGATGTCCTTTGGAGTAGACATAGCTTTCTTTGCCCATGCTGTTGCCATAACTAGTGGAATGAGCTTTAATTTAATAAGAAAAAAATATCCTTGAGAATTGTAGGCAATCTGAGAAATGTGTGTAATTGTCACATATTCATCCGCTTATAGAAATGTGGTTAATGACATTTACTGTCCACACAGGAAAAGTTGTGCCGAGCAGCAACCTAATCCACAGAAGGGTTAATGTTGAGCAGCAATTATGCAAATGAAACCTGGTAACTGACTTTGGGGTCAAAGGCCAGTTACAGCCTATCAGAACTAAAGGAGGGGTATTTAGGCCCAGTTCTCAGCCTGCTCAGTGCCCTGTCGTGGTTTCCCTTGTGGTTGTCTGAGAGCGCGTTCCTGTTTATAGTTTTCTACCTGGTTTTTGACTTTGGCTTTGTTTATTGACTTCTCTATATTCTGGTATCCTGACTCCTGGCTTTCCTCATCGCTGTGTCCCTTTCTGTGTTCCCTGACCTCGGCTAGTATTTTTGACTATTCTTTGTACGTTAAATCCGGCCATTCTAAGGACCGGTAATACGTTACTTATTTGTCATCCGTGCTGTACAGTTCTACGTGCTGGATCAAACAGTAATCCTGACATTACGACATGGCCATAGATCCTGTAGAACTGTGTCAGCACATAGCTGCTTGCGAGAGGAAATTAGAGGAGAATGATCACCGCATGGATCAATTCACTCAGGCTTTAAGTACGCTTCTCGCTAGAACGGAGCATCTGCAGCCTGCAGCGTCTCCTCCTATAGCACCTCTACCCTGTGTACCTCCACCCACTGTTAATAGGACTCCTTGCATCTCCTTATCACCATCCCTACAGTTTGATGGCAATATCCAGGAATGCAGGGGTTTTCTTAATCAAGTGGAGTACCATTTTGAGGCCTCACCAGGGTCATTCCCCACGGACAGAGCAAGAATTGGTTATCTAATGAATCAATTAAAGGGCAAGGCCCTTGCCTGGGCTAATCAGTTGTGGGAGAGTAATCAGAGCATAGCTCATAATTACCAGGAATTCCTTGCCGAATTCAAGCTCACGTTTGAGCCATTGGGTAGAGAGGATGACGCCTCCACTGCCCTAATGCACATCAGACAAGGTAACCGGTCTATCTCGGATTATGCTATTGAATTCCGTACCTTAGCTTCCGAGGTAGACTGGACTAACAATGGGTTAATCTCAGCATTCAAAAAGGGTCTCTCAGAGACTATACTAGATGAGATAGCCGCTAAAGAATTACCTAAGAGTCTTAACGAATTTATTACGTTTGTCATGCATATTGATAATAGGTTAAGACTCAGAGAAGTCACCAGAAGCAAGACCAGACGTACGGCTATGTCCCTAGCACCTCAATTCTCTAAACCTGTTTTGTCTAACCTCCCTGTACAGTCCGAACCCGAACCTATGCAGTTGGGGGTCACTAGACTGTCAGAGGCCGAAAAACAGTATAGGAGAAGGGAGGGGTTATGCCTATATTGCGGTAGAAAGGGACATATGATAACTAATTGTCCAGTGCGTCCGGAAAACTTCCGCACCTAAGAACCTTAAGGGGACAGATCTTAGGTGTGATGGAGTTGTCCTCTAACAAAAACAAAAGTAGATTCCTCCTTGAGGTATCTATTTCCCTTGATAACAAGAAGTTTTCTTGCAGTGCCCTAATGGACTCAGGTGCTGCTGGAAATTTTATTGATGTCCAGTTTATTAGGGGTAATGAGATACCGGTCAGGGAGAGACCTACGCCGCTAGCTGTAGAGGCTATTGATGGTAGACCACTCACACAACCGCTTATAACCCACGAAACTGTCCCTATTACGATCTCCATTGGGGCCTCCCATAGGGAGGAGATGACGTTTCAGGTTATTACTTCTCCATCATGTCCTATCATATTAGGGTTTCCGTGGCTGAGTAAGCACAATCCCTATATTGACTGGGCTAATGGGGAGATATTAGAATGGGGTAAAGAGTGTATGGGGAGATGTATAAAACCAGTACTAAAGAGATTGGATACTATTGACCTTCCCACTACCACTCCCCAAACTCCTGGAGTTCCCATACAATACCGAGAACTTCAGGAGGTGTTTAACAAGGCTCAATCCGATGTATTGCCTCCCCACAGAGCATATGACTGTGCCATTAACCTGTTTCCAGGCGCTATGCCACCTAAGGGGGCAGTTTATGCCTTATCTCCCCAGGAGAGTAAAATAATGGAGGAATACATCAAAGAATCCTTGAGCAAAGGGCACATAAGAAAGTCATCCTCACCAGCTGGTGCAGGATTCTTTTTTGTTGAGAAAAAGGGTGGTGAGTTACGCCCTTGCATAGACTACAGGGCACTTAATAAAATCACTGTAAAAAATGCATACCCTATTCCACTCATTTCCGAATTGTTCGATAGACTTCAGGGAGCTAAAGTATTTACTAAGCTTGACCTTAGGAGCGCTTACAATTTGGTTAGAATTAAAGAGAATCATGAGTGGAAGACGGCATTTAATACCCGTAGTGGACACTATGAATATCTGGTAATGCCATTTGGGTTATGCAACGCCCCGGCCGTATTCCAAGACTTTATAAATGATGTACTCAGGGAATTCATTTACTCATTTGTCTTGGTTTATTTGGACGATATTTTGGTGTATTCCCCTGATCTTCAAACTCACCACTCCCATGTGAAACAGGTTCTGCAGACGTTGTTGAAAAATAAACTTTATTGTAAATTAGAAAAGTGCATATTTGACCAGCCTGAAGTCCACTTTTTGGGTTACAACATCTCTGCATCGGGATTTCAAATGGATCCTAAAAAACTAGAGGCTGTACTACACTGGCCATTACCCTCTGGTTTAAAAGCCATTCAAAGGTTTATTGGTTTTGCCAACTATTACAGAAGATTCATCAAGGGATTTTCTTCTGTAATAGCCCCAATCACAAATATGACTCGCAAAGGGGTTAGTAGCACGGTATGGTCCAAAGAGGCTGTGAATGCTTTTGAGACTCTTAAACAAAGATTTGCCTCTGCGGACATACTAAAACATCCTGACACCAGTAAACCTTTCATATTGGAGGTTGATGCATCCGAGACAGGGGTAGGGGCTGTTCTCTCTCAGAGAGAAAGCCAGGGAACACCATTGCATCCTTGTGGCTACTTCTCCAGAAAGATGTCTCCTGCTGAGCGCAACTATGATATTGGCAATAGAGAACTGTTGGCCATTATTCTTGCCCTCAAGGAGTGGCGACATCTTTTGGAGGGTTCCAAGGACCCCCTGTTGATCATAACCGACCACAAAAATCTGGCATATATAGGGGATGCCAAACGTTTGTCTTCCAGACAGGCTAGATGGTCACTGTTCCTTTCACGTTTTAACTTTCTCATTACTTATAGACCTGGTTCTAAAAATACCAAGGCTGATGCCTTGTCCAGGCAATTTGATAATGAGTCAGCTCCGGAACAGATGACATCTCCTATTATTCCAGCAGAGTGTATTATTGCTACTACTGTCCTCTCACTGTCTTCTCCACTGCTTGGCACCATACTGGAGGCCCAGCCTCAGGCGCCCAGTGGTAAACCGTGTGATAAACTGTTCGTTCCCCTATGTGAAAGGGTTAATATCATGAAAGTGTTCCATGACAATATAACTGCTGGACACCCGGGCATCAATAAGTCCACTGCCGCGATCACTAGATCATTTTGGTGGGATTCACTCAGGAAAGATGTAAAGGAGTATGTGCAGGCATGTTCTGTGTGTGCAGTTTCTAAGGTGACTCATGCACTTCCTTGTGGCCTGTTGCAGCCTCTTCCTGTTCCTGAGATTCCATGGTCCCACCTATCCATGGACTTTATTGTTGAGCTTCCTAGCTCTGCTGGGTTCACTACTATTCTCATGGTTGTAGACCGATTTTCTAAGATGGCTCACTTCATTCCTCTCAAGAAGTTGCCATCTTCGCAAGATTTGGTCCTAATTTTCATACGTGAAATTGTCCGTTTGCATGGCATCCCCCACAATATTGTGTCTGATAGGGGCTCTCAGTTTGTGTCCAGGTTCTGGAGGGCGTTCAGTAAACAATTGGGGATTGATCTCTCCTTCTCCTCCTCCTACCATCCACAGACCAATGGTACAGCTGAGAGGGCTAACCAGTCATTAGAAGTTTATTTGCGTTGTTTTATTAATAGCACACAAGACAATTGGTCCGAACTACTCCCGTGGGCCGAGTTCGCTAGAAACAATGCTGTTCATGACTCCTCTGGGCACAGTCCATTTTTTGTCAATAATGGTAGGCATCCTACGGTTCTCCCTGCGGTATTTTCTGATACTGCCATTCCTGCTCTGGATGAGCGTCTGGCCTCCATTCGGGATACCTGGGTTAAGGTTCAAACTGCTCTAGGGGCTGCTGCTGAACGCTTCAAACATTTTGCTGATAAGCGTAGGAGTGCCAACCCGGTGTACCAAGTGGGGGACCGGGTTTGGTTGTCATCTCGCAACATCAAGCTTAAGGTCCCTAGCATGAAGTTTGCCCCCAGATTCCTTGGTCCCTATAGAGTGCTTCGTAGGATCAATCCAGTGTCTTACTCTCTGGCTCTTCCTGCATCTTTAGGGATTCCCAACACTTTTCATGTGTCCTTACTCAAACCTCTTGTCTGCAATAGATATACTGTTCCTTGTGTTCCTCCCCCTCCGGTGGTGGTGGGTGGTCAGGAAGAGTATGAGGTATCTTCTATCGTGGATTCTAGGTTTTCTCGGGGCATTTTACAGTACTTGGTTGTTTGGAAAGGTTACGGTCCTGCTGATCATTCTTGGGTTTCGGCTCCTGACCTGCATGCGGGCCATAAGATCCGCGCTTTTCACGCTAAATTTCCTCTCAAGCCTGGTCCTGTCCGCCCGGTGGGCGTTCTTCAGGTGGGGGGTAATGTCACATATTCATCCGCTTATAGAAATGTGGTTAATGACATTTACTGTCCACACAGGAAAAGTTGTGCCGAGCAGCAACCTAATCCACAGAAGGGTTAATGCTGAGCAGCAATTATGCAAATGAAACCTGGTAACTGACTTTGGGGTCAAAGGCCAGTTACAGCCTATCAGAACTAAAGGAGGGGTATTTAGGCCCAGTTCTCAGCCTGCTCAGTGCCCTGTCGTGGTTTCCCTTGTGGTTGTCTGAGAGCGCGTTCCTGTTTATAGTTTTCTACCTGGTTTTTGACTTTGGCTTTGTTTATTGACTTCTCTATATTCTGGTATCCTGACTCCTGGCTTTCCTCATCGCTGTGTCCCTTTCTGTGTTCCCTGACCTCGGCTAGTATTTTTGACTATTCTTTGTACGTTAAATCCGGCCATTCTAAGGACCGGTAATACGTTACTTATTTGTCATCCGTGCTGTACAGTTCTACGTGCTGGATCAAACAGTAATCCTGACAGTAATCCACCTAGCAATAGGGAACTTGGAAGTCTGTTGACCTTTTGATTTCCCTTAAAAGATGATCTGCTTTTCTCCATTTTGGAGACCTAGCCAAATAGATTGTTAAAGCCCACTTGATGTTCTGACTGAAAACGTTATTCCTTAGGAGAGGAAGGATTCTGGCAGAAAGTTGGTAAGATAATTGCCTGATTCAGGTTTTTGATCAAGACCTTAGGGCAAACTGATGGCCTGGGAACAAATATCGATGCCAACAAATGTGCCTACATTTGCCCCACCTGCTCAGCTACAGTTATGCCTATTAAAAATGTTGCTTTGAGTGTCAAAACTGTAACTGGACAGTCTTCCAAAGACTTTTACACAAAGCTTGAAACACTGCACATACGGAGTTACTGTTAATTGTATGCTGGGGGCTAGTTGCAACCCCAGCACATGCGACCTAGGCAGCCCAGAACACGGTTCAGGGCTGCCCACGGTGAATTCTGTTTATATTTTACATATTGTCAGCACGCACTGCGCGCTTGCAACAGATGTAAAAATCTTTCCGTTGCAAGCAGACCATCTGCAAAGGGAAGATTACTGTCCACACACCCCCTTCCCAACCTGTTAGAGCTCCCTCTTGGGAGAAATCCTTCCCACCTACTATCCCCTCACCACCCAGAGTGTGCGCACTTTGAGCCAGTAAATCAGTCCAATTGCGAAATTTCTGGTGATATTACAATGGGGCTTGAAAAATCAGTGTGGGTAGTGTTGCCCTGCGCAGCATTAAGGTAAGTTTCAATTTTTTTGTGTAGGTTTTTACAGGGATGGCCAATAGTAATACCTAATAGGGCACTTATAAATGGAGTGTATTTTTTTTTTTTTTAAATCAGGGTTGAAGTAACCATTTTAGAATTTGGCAGGCAAATCTTGAGTGAGGAAGTAACTAAGGGCAGAAACTTGCTCTATTAGCGAAGATGAACAGAGGCCCTAAGAAAAACCTTCCTGAAGAAAATTCCAAATTCCAAAATTACCGGAATTGGGAGTCTTCATGGCCTATTAGGATCATTCTTGCAGGATTTGTAAGATTCTTAGGGTTTCTACTGACACATTCTTGATTTTGAAGATTCTCAGGATGTCCTGTAACTGCAAATACCAGTGACAGGTTTAGCTCACCACCAGGGTGGCTAGAGTGCTGGATGTAGCATCACGTGCCTACCGCACCACAGCACTATGTTCCAAGACCTTGGAGGCCAACCCGAAACCGTCCCGTGGCAAGTAAGAACTCTGGATCCTCCATTTGTTTAAATATTCATTGGAATTTGGGGTAGTGGCTGGTAACTTTTTACTTAGTGTTTTTTTTGTATTGTATGTATTGGGGCTGATGTGTACGGTTTATTGCTGCTGCCCAGGAGTAGTGGGAGTCTGAGTGCAGTGCTTAATTTTGTGTATTCACGTTTGTATCACACAACCATGTTGCAATGCTGCCACCCAGCCCATGTGCTCCTTATTAAGGGTTAATAAGTATGTAGGGGTTTAGAAACATCATCATGCCCCTCTGTTTCATTGGGGATTCTTAGGAGATTCAGTTCTTTATGGCTTGCAAAAAAGGTCGGACAGCCAATAGTTTACTTTTTTCAAAATAGGCTAACTGTACATATAAAAAGGAACATGCACCTACTGTACTATCATATAAACAGTTTTCCAAATCAAAAGGCAAAACAAAATGATTTTACTTGCAAGGATAGGTAAGGGGGGAGGGAATACAAGCTAAATAGCCTGATCTGATCGAGAGCACAAACAATAGGCAAAATGAATGCTTGTTTAACACATTATATAGAAAGCTAGTTTGTTAAATGAAACACTAGAATGTTCCATGGGTGTAATGGTCATGATAGTGAAGGGATTCAAAATAAAAAATGTTTTTTGGTTGTTTTTTTAATCTGCTCTTGTGAGAACTCTTTAAAATACAAAAATAGTGTATTTGCAATATACAGTGTGCTTTGTGAAATGGTGTTTAGGGATATGTACAAAACCAGAAATATGGCTAAATGAATAAGGGGTACATTCACTAAATTGTGAGCTCAGAAAAGATTTGTAAAATTGGAGAAAAAAAATAAGAGCTGCTAGAATAAATCCCCAACTCATATTTTGATATACCGTTTTCAAATCTGTTGTAACCTCACAACATACTGTTTAAAGGTACAATCCAAGCACCCTACCCACCACAGCTCACTCTAGAGGTTATGGTATTAGGAGTGACACCCCCTACCACCCATTGCAAGCCATTTTAGAATGGTTAGACTTTATAGCTTACCATCGGTCGCACTGCCCACCTCCACTAAGGTCAAAGTGTCAGCCATTCCACTACTACTACCACCAGCGCCAAAAAGCAGGTACTTTCATTGGCTCTATTGAGCTAAGCCTTGCAATACAGGGCTTAAAGCAACACTGTCCCCCAAACCTGGCGGGTCCTTTACGGAGCCGATGTCACTGCTGTACTAAGGCATCGAGGTCTATGGAGAATCCTGCAAGATCCTCCACAGACACAGCCAATTCACAGCCTAAGACACAGCTTAGCCCAGAAGAGCTAACTGTCCTGAATAGTAACTTACGGCTCTCTAGCAGTATCAGTGGAGGAGGGAAGAGGTACAGCAGACCACAGGTAAGAAATCAAACTGTTCAAAAATGTGTTAATAAATGCAAGCCTGGTACTATACCTTGTAGTGGATATGGTGCTTAGAATGTTCCTTTAATAATAGTCTCTAAAAGCTTTTGATATAAAGTGGCTGCCAATTAAGGAAATATCTGATGGACATTGCTGGTTAAGCAATTAAAAGGAATACTTTTTGTGATTATACTACACAATTCCGATTACTGCGTCCCTTAACATGCAACTTTCAAATGGTGTTCTTTTAATATACTTTGAATGGGAGACCAAAACAAATTTGCCATCCTTGTTAATGCAGATTAAAAAATATGAAGAAACGGGGTCAGAAATGATATGCCAGTATGCAACTTGTCGTATTTAACCAGGTTAAAGTAAAACACATTGTAGTGGATGAAATATATAATGTAGGAAAGAGAACAAAGAATTTTTACCTGGATGTCTTTCCATCAGCAGAAATAAACAGTAGCAAATAGCAAGTGTTAAACAGTTTAGAATGATGTGACAAAACCAAGATGGTCTTGGTTCTACTAGTTCATAGCAAATGCATCACACAGTTGCATATAATAAAAAAAATAAAAAAAAAAAAGAAAGAAAAAAAAAAAGTTTAAATAGCATTGGGACATTGTATTACTATTCTCCATGGCATTGATTCCATAAAATACATTTTATTTTTTTAAGGGTGCTCAACAAACGACCACCTATGATAGAGTGTACTGAAAGAAGGCTCCCTGTTACAGTCTCACTTCCAACTAGCCACAATCTCTTCTATTCCTACCTTTCCTCATAGCTGGAAAATCTCCATCCCCAACCTCTGAACTAAATCAACATCCATGCCTACTAATTAGCTCAATCAAGGTAGACAGCCTACCTCCGAACAAATGGTCTTATCTGACACTAGATAACTGCAATCCCCCTTATAGTTAATTTACACTTAACTCTAGATAACCTCAAACCCACCTAGATATAGCCCTACTACTCCAAAATGTAAGACTCCTAGAGTAGGATATTAAGTAAAATCATTTTGGTGAGAAAAATTGGTTACTTTCTGTTTAACCCCTTAGTAACTGACTGCAAATTAAAAATATGATATAATGGTTTATTTAAAAAGGTTGAATATAATGCTCTTATAGAGAGCTGAAGTTTATGAAAATAACATTGGTAGTTACACAAACATGGGATAAATAATTAGACACACTAATACAAAAGGAGAAAAGGACACCTGTGGGCTTCAATTGTTAAGTAATAGAAATGTACCCATGAATGTGATATTGTTGTAGAATTATTAGGCCTCTATAAATCTGTAAGGCCCCTTTAAATCCTCTTGCTATACCTCTAAGAGGCCCCATAGTTTTACAAGAAAGCTTTGTCTATAGAATATAGAATTTGCATGTCAGCAAGAAATATTATGCACCTGTAGTGTGAAACACTGTAGCATCCCACTTACAATGATAGCTTTGATAAAATGTGTATTTACTAAAAGCCTTGAAACCTAACCTTGAGAAACTAACAGTGCCAGGCTACACTCTAAATGGATAGCTGCCAAAAGGCCCCTCCCGTCGAGTGAGCTCCTCATGTTAACAAAATGGCGCTAAAACCTGGAGGAGACAATCATGACGAGGATAGTGACCTAAGATGGTACACCCCGTAGGGAGGGCATTTTACTAACTACTTAGCACCTAAGCCAATTAACAATGTCTATTTGTCTATATCTTGATTTTCTTCAATGATGTAATAATGCCTTTAAAAGGGCCTGCGAGCCTGCTTTTTAAACAGAAGCCATTAAACTTCTCCGAAGTTCTTTCATTAACCTGAACTCTGTGTCTCAGTGTGAATTTACTTCTGCGTGCACGCAACTTTATTATCTCTAATTTGGACAGGAACAGATAGTCATTCAAACTAATTGGTTTGCAGTAAATCATCTACTACATTATAAAGAGTACTTCTTTACATTCAGCATACTGTATCGAAAATAGAAATCAGAAGCAATGTTTTACAATCACTATACATTGAAAGTGGAGAAGATAAACAATTATAATTTCAATATATGTAAATGGGAAAGATATATAAGGGTTTATAAATAAAAAAAATATATACATATATTTTTTTTACCTGAGTTTCCACCAACATTGCAATATCCACAAACATTTCATGCAGTTCACGAATGCTGGACTCTAGCTTAATGATGTCTTTGTGTCGGGATTCAATTTCATTCAGAGCCTGCCTTGTAATCTTGGAATCTGAAATGATCTAAAACACAAACAAGCCTTTGCTCACTCATGATATTTCCAAAACAGGTCTAATGAATGCATGTATAATAACCACTCATTACTTACATCTGATGTAAAGATTGAAGGGTTCCCAGACTCCAACATCTCTTCCAGTTCATCATCTGTGGTTGTTTTTCCAGCTACAAGTGAAAAGTACATTTATATGTACGAATGTTTTAAGCTACAAATTGACACCAATTCTATACTGCATGCAACACAGGGCATTCATCTGCCCACTGCCCAAGGAAGCACCTCTAGTAGTAATCTGAGGAGTGGCCAGTTGAGTTATTCGTAGGCTGTAATGTAAACATTGCATCTTCTCTCAAAAGACGGTGTGTACCGCAAAAGGCCTGAAGGAAATAATTATACACACCAGAAAAAAAAAATAAGCTGTAGTTTTTCTGGTGACTATAGTGTCACTTTAAATATCTACAGAATTAGAAATAAATTGGTTTTGTGTCAGGCTTATGCAATATAGGATCACACACTGACTAAACCATCATTTTTATCTGGGTTAGGCGTTTTTGTTTTTTGTTTAGAAGACTACTGCGTTCTGTGAGCTTTGAAATTGCATATTAGTGAATGAGTGAGTGTGCTGGGTGTATGTTGTACAAAATTAGATAACTATACTTTATTGAACAGGGTTATTCACTAAATTGAGAATTCACCAAGAATTCAAAATGAATTAAAAGTTAATTTATGCCAAAATGGCTAAATTTGGAAAATTCTCTAGCCAGTTCTGATTTCAGAGTGGTTATTTTGACCCTCAATAACCTTGCAAGTGCACAGTTAAAACTACATCAAGCTTGCAATTAAATAAAAAATGCAAAGTTATAGAAACCATGCACCTTGTGGCACAATGCCTAATATGACTAAAGAAAACAGTTTATTAAAAGATAACTGTAGTCTAGAGTTGATCCCAATTTTTTCAATGACAGACTGATTATTTCAGTGTAGAAATCAGTGGGAAAGGTTTTAGCCACACAGCCCTCTGTACTGGTGAGTACACACTACACTAAAAATAGTGCATGGGTATGAAAATGTGGTAAAGTCTCAAGGGAGCTTATGTGTATGGTGCTTAGATTGACAGGGATACCTGCACAGGCCACTTATCATATGTCTACTAGAGGTGCTTCCTGGGGCAGTGCCAATCAGGGTGAAGAACTGATATTTAGTGTCTCCACCTTTTGCATGGAGACACTGAACTTTCCTCATAGAGATGCATTGATTCAATGTATCTCTGTAAGAAGATGCTGATTAGCCATAGCCATGCCTGTGTTTGGCTTGTGCTGGCTCTGCTACTTGACAACATCAACCAATTCAATGATTTCCTATGAGAAAGCATTGTGATTGGCTTTGAACACCACTTGATGCCATGAGTTAGACAGTGTTTGAAAACAGACATTCTCTCTGCTTTTCGGCTTCTGCGCAGGGAGTGACACTGGCTGACCAAAGATTAATACGTACGACAGAAGGATCCTGCCATATACTAAAGGGATGTGCTTCTTTAAAAACAAAAAACAAAAAAAAACACCCACAATATAGTTCCTTTCAAAACCTGATGAAAGGATCATTATGTTCAAAAATAGGTGACAGTTGTCCGTTAATTTAAGAGCAGGTGCTTGTAAGCAAATGTTTGTTTGAAAGATTCAAAATGTTCCAACAAGCAGTTGTAATGCTCAGCATAAACAATGATTATTTTCTTTATTTTTATTTTTGAGACACGAATGCAGCATTTTGGCACACAGTGGTGTCTTTATATAACCATTTCATATGCATAATACTAGTGTTAGAAATAAAAAAAATATATATAAAAGGTAAACCAAGAAGTGGGATTAATCAAAACAAATCACTGAGGAATTAATTGTATTTAATCCTAAATAAAACAAAAAAATTGGTTAATTTACTATTAATCCCGCCCACCCCCAAATAAATAAATATACACACATATATATATATATATATATATATAAATAAATTTATTTTTTACTAAAAGGTGTGCCGATAGCTTACTTATTTCTAGTTGACGCTGTATACGTGCTTTGCTTCGGTCTCGAAACTGGATCTGGATTTCATTGTATGCAATCATAACCTCCCCAAACTTCCTGGACAATACTGTATGCTGTCACAAAAGGAAAACATTTATTAACCCATTGAACTGTACACTTATAAAAAGCAGTGATTTATTTATTTTTTACCAAATATTTAAAGTTTTCGCTGTTAGCACTTTATCCCACCTGTAAACTCAAGAAGAAATTATTCAAAACAATATTTACAAAACTTTCAGCAAGAATTTCCCTACCAAGGAAGTATAAGAGATAGTTACCCACCAATTTCCATTGAGAAAAAAAGGTGTACAGCAATGTAAATGCAGTAAAGATCTCAGCTTATATACGGCATGTTTGACACTTTCATCTGCTTATTAAGTGTTCCTTCAAAACAATAGGTTTCAGGTACAAAACATTTAAATTCTGTAGCATTTCAACAAAACATTTGCAAAGATATTGTCAGGTTTCAAAACTGACATGTAAGACTTTTTCGTTTATTACTGGCCCTTTATGTGAACTTCACGATTTTCTCCTCTAGTGGCCTCCCTAGCCACTAATCTATTCACTCACCTGAATTAACTAATTAGGAGGCTTGATAAATCTACTGGCACACAACAGGGCCTTGACATTGAATCTATGCAGCTTCCGAGAATCCTGATGTGATCCTTGTGGCGTATTGCCTTCATTGAAGAATCTTAACTGCTTCAATTGCTGCATCACTGCATGATCTCGTAAGCAACCTACATTATATTATTTTGGAATATACCTACCTGTTTCAACCTCTGCAACGCTGCGTTATCCTTTATGGTCTTATCCAAAAAGGTATTTACCTATATCTAGCTGCATTGCAAACTATCCTGGAAATCCTTAACTACTTGGTATAACTTCAAGCTTGCTTGTATACAAAAGACAATTTATTTACTTTCTAAAGATCTTGTTTGTGGCATATTGCCTAAACCCTGTTTTTTACTCAAAGTATCCTGTTTGTGGCACACTGCCCTTTATTCTTTTTTTCAGTAAATTTGTTATGTCTAATACAACAAATAAAGTTTTAACCAATAACCCTTGCAATCGTCTCCTCTCTGACCTGCTCAGGAGCAAGACAGATGTTTGTAATAAGTGAACAAGTAAATTTTTGGAGCATTCTGTCGTAAAAGAACACTATAGGGTCAGGAACACAAACTTGCCTCCCTTCCCCCAAGGTAATAAAAACTTACCTTATTTCCACCGCTGTGAGAGTCCGCCGGGGCTGACCCTGCTGTTGATCCGCATCTTTGATGGACATCAGATTTGATTATTTCAGACAATTCAATGCTTTTGAATAGGGAAAGCATTGGTTTGGCTGAGATCAGCAAAGAGGCAGGACAGGGGCAGAGCACAGACATCGGCTTGGCCAATCCGCATCTCCTCATAGAGATACACTGAATCAATGCATCTGTAAGAGGAAAGTTTAGCGTTTCACAACATGGAAGCCAGGAAGGTGGAGTGGCTACTGGAGGTGTCCCTAGAGGGCAATGTAAACACATAAAAATGCCTTCCGGGGGCGGGGCCTGACTGCCATGGCGAAGAGACGTGTTTAGCTTGAGCTCCTCTCCTATGCTGGCAGTACATGTAGTTTTTAGCTACATCGAATCTGCTCTCAGCTAGGCCCAGCAACTTAACTGACCTCTGATCGAGCTGAGGTACTCTGTAGGTATCGGAGATCTGGCAGGAGCTCATCTGCTGCACGACTTGCAGCATGCAGTCAATAGGGCACCGGTTGGGGGAAGCAGACGATCGGCCAGACTGGGGCTGCTCGACATATCAGCGACGTCCAGGTGCCCAGTCCTCACCCCCCCCACCCCCAAGAGGCAATATTGACCCACTGAGGGCTGGAGGTGCCACCACAGAGACCGAGGAACAATTGAGTGGCTCACCTAATATGGCGGACGCCACGAGGCAACCCGACATCATGGAGGGAAACTTGACATATTGTCCAGGCTGGACAGGATTTTCCACAATTTCTGGCAGAAACTGGAGGAAAAGCAGCACCAAGCCACCATGCAGCAGCTGAACAGCCACTCACCTCGACAGCCGATCCCTCACATGCAGCAGAACATCAAGGCTCCAATGCAGAAGAGGACCCCAAAATGGCGACGCGCCAGAAAACACTCAACGCTTCACGCAAATCGGCACATAAGAGAACAGTCCCGTACAAGTGCTGGGACTCTTACAGTGTCCAAGACTCAACAGCTGCAGTTTAAAGCTAGACCAAGCGGGAAACCTGTGGAGCAGCGAGAATCACCAACCCTGCCCTTTGAATGGAGCAGTCTGTTCTCATCTGGGCTAGAGGGCCTTCAAATTGCTTGGCATCTGCAGGGCAACGACTGTTGAATCTTGGACAGTGCTTATGCCTCAGTCTCACCCTTCATGTTCCCACCTGACAGGATAGAGCAGTGGTTCCACTGCACCTCTACTGGATTTGCAGTATCTTTGCCCCTAGTTAACAATATGCTACTTAAACTTCATTCTCCCTTATTCTATATGTGGGCTATCTATATAACCTTTCGGGGGAGGGCCTCTTGGGGGTATACTCTCCTGAAAGTTGGCATGGTACTACTCATGGGCATTGAGCCCTAATTCTCAGAGTTTCTGTATCCAGTGTTCTTACTCCTCACTCTACCTTGGTAATCTTATCCATATATTCTACTAGCACTGTGTCCTTCAAGCTTGACTATTACATATAAATTGTGTAGATTACTCTTCACTGTACTGATTTCTCTTGACCTGTTTTTTTTTCTGTTCTATGCCGTTTTAAAGTGCAACATGATGTCTTGTACCATCCATGCACAACAAAAAGAAAGAATGAACAAAACAAAATGCTTACAAGGACTGACTATACTCACCAGAACAACTACATTTGTTCTGGTAACTATGGTGTTCCTTTAATATGTGATCTGTAAAACACAAAATATGAGAAATTCTGTCACTGGTGTAAAAATGTGTGTTATGCACTAAGGTGAAATATTTGAAAAACCAAACAAAATCAAACATGCAATTGTCCTGAAAATACGAAATAGATTTGTTTCTTAAGGAGTTAAATTAGCAGGAATGTAAGCTGGAAGGGAAATTTCAGGAATGTAAGAACAGGGCCTGAACTAGCTGTTATAAGTGTGTTTGTTAGTTATAAAGTATGAATAAGGTAAAATCCAATAGGTTTTGTGTTTTCCAGGAAACCGGGACACATAGCAGTTGGTACCTAGGAACATCCTTCCAAAAGGTAACAACACCAATTAACAAGCTTAAGTTTGTGCATAGTTAAAACCTAGTTTGTGATGGTTACTGAAGTTAAGGAAAAAAAAAAAAACTATAGGGACAAATGAATTTTATTTATATAATGTCCCTGGCATCACTGTTACCTCTGCCATCCTTTTTGTTATTCTTCCACCCTATGTTTCACCACCTTGCCTGCTGTTTTCTCATACAATTAAATGCATCTCATAGATGAGCTTTGAAATGGATGAAAAGTAAATGTGCCTAAACAGTTCCACCAACCAAATACTCCTCAGAGTCAAATTCATTGAGATGAGGTGGTTTGAGTGCTTATAGTTTCTGTTTAATTTAATTCAGTAAGGTAACGGTCCATTAGACTTAATGCAGCCATCAGGGCCATCCTATAACGAAAGGCAAAAATATTGCCCAAATATTACACCTACTAATCCAAGCTGAGTCATCTATTGTAGATGCATTTTGATACATACTGTACACCTGGCACAATACGTTGTTATACCAGTTACATCCCAGGATTTTAATAGTAGGTTTACTTATTCATTAACAAGTGTGTGAGACGTGAAAGTAACATTAAAATGTAGAAAACGACACATTTTTATCATGCAATTGGGCGCCTCCAACCTTATTTCCTGCCAATTATTCTTATAAACACTGTCCTTTGCACCTCTCAGTCTGCTAGAGAAGCATACGGATGTGAAGAAATGCCCCTCTTATACTGTAAATGGACTCTTTGTATTCGTTTATTTAATAGCAAGGTTTCCCTACAGACCACCCTGTTACTCATTATACAGACTGTACCCCCTTGCTGGCTGGATTACGTTCGGCAGAAGTTCTGCACGAACGGCAGGTCTCGCCGCCATTTCGGGACTTCCACGTGTTCGCGGCCATTTTAGCTCCCGAACAGCGGTGTTTGCCGTTGAATGTCTGGAACTGAAAACGGACACTCAAACAGGCGAACACCGCTAAAGCCTCCAGACCTTGGCTAAACCCCCTTCCAAACTACCGAACGACCGGTCGTTCGGTAGGAAGACTTGCTAACGGATGGGGACTCAAGCGAACCAAGGATGGTAGCTGGATGGCCGGCCGTTCGGGAGGTTTTTCATGCGACCTAAGACCGACTGCAGGGCCAGAATTCATGGAACTGTTTTCGGCTACTTTGCCCATGCAGTCGGTCAAAACTTCTAAGTCCCATATCTCCCGAACGACTGAACCGAATGGACTGAGTTTTTAATATGTTGGTCCCCCAGACAATAGCTATCTGGGGACACCTTGGGGTACATCCAAACTTTGGGGAATTGCTGTTACGTTTTAATTGTGTTTAATGGTTATCTGAGGGGAAGAGATGTACAGTATGTATATTGTTAGGATTGGATGTATGGCTAATTATATGGGAGGCTCCCTTGCATGGGCTGAATTCCATAAAAAGAGCATGCCTGTCATTAAACCTTCAGTTCATCTTTGTACCCTTATTCTGACTACGTATGCTGTTTGGGAGTTCGTGTGTTTTACTGTGGGAATTATCCAGGAACACTATTGGATTTACAATTGGGAATTCGTCTACTATAACTACCGAACGGAGGGCTATATTCACTGGGCTCTGGCTGTTCGGGAGGAAACTACCAATTAGGGTTTAAATGTACTTGGTTTCCTTACAACGGACAACCTTAAAAGATTAAAGGGACACTAGAGTTACAAACACAATTTTAGCTAAATGAAGCAGAGTTGGTGTATAGTTTATGACCCTGCAGCCTCACTGCTAAATTCTCGACCATTTAAGAGCTATATCACTTTGTCTAAGTCACATACAGGGAGGTGTGACTAGGGCTGTATAAACAAACTCCCTAAACACTACTTGTAAAGTGAGATTTAATGTTTATACTTCCTTTATTGCAGTCTGTTTAATTTATGATTTCTCATCCCCTGCACTGTTAACAGCTTGGTACACCTAAATCCCTGGTGGTCCGGTGGTGGTAAGAGGGACAGGTCCTGCAGCGCTCCTGTCCTCCCACCCGCACGATGCTTTGTGGAGCGTTGCCATGGTAACGCGCGGCAACGCTCACATAGATTGCTCTTGGGAGGATGGGAGAGCTGCTTCTCAGATCCCTCCCCTTGTCCTCCCGACACAGAAGCAGAGTAGGCGCTTGCCGTTTTGGGCAGGCAGGTGCCTACTCTGCATTGATAGCGAGCTATGGCTGCGTGCCCACAGAGAGGACCCGGCATAGGTTCGCCTTCCCTGCTATAGAGTAAGGTTATTCAGAAAGTAAAGGTAATTTACAAAAGTTTTATTCAATTGTATAGTTTAAAGAGGAGCAGTCACTTCTTTGAAAAGTAAGAGACCATCTTCTAAATAGGCAAACACAACCAAGTAGAGAAATTATTGCAATGGATATAGATATTGCAGGTTGGTCAAGTTCACCTCTTACTTAAACGCTACATTCCCCAGATATGTTGAAAATCAGAGTTTTGGATTTTGGAAAGCACATTTATTGCAATAGCATCCATTGTACCTTTGTGGTGGAGGACATTGGTTATCACTCTGAAATTACTCAATGGCAGCAATATACAATCCATGAAGCTAGTCACAAGTAATCGTGTCAACAACATTATGGAGATGCCATCAATCTGGGCACTTATCTCATTGTTCAGATTGGCTAAAGTTGTGCCTGAACCACAATGAAACACTGGTGTATACTTATGATTGATAACATGTCAAACTTGTTTCTGAAGTTCTTCTGTTTTTTGTAACTTCTGTTGTGAAATTATGCTGGATTGTCATCTGTAATGATTGAGAAGTATCACATTTTATCCTTACTTTATTCTGCTAAACCTCCTACAATTTGAACAATTTTGACATTTTCAGCCTATAGTGGTCCTGAAAAGCTTCCAATTACATAGAATGTGACGGCAGATAAGAACCATTTAGCCCACCTAGTCTGCCAATTTTCTAAATACTTTCATTAGTCCCTGGCCTGATCTTATAGCTAGGATAGACTTATGCTTATCCCATGCATGCATAAACTCCTTCACTGTGTTAACCTCTACCACTTCAGCTGGAAGACTAGTCCATACATCCACTACCCTCTCAGTAAAGTAATACTTCCTGATATTTTTAAAGCTTTGCCCCTTAAGGACCGCGGACGTATGAGGTACGTCTGACAAAAAAAAAAAAAAGAGTCCTCAAGGACTGCGGACACATGCCCGCAATAGGTGTTTACAGTGCTGCCAGCAGGGAGACTGCCTGAACTGACTGCTGGTGAAAAAGTAAAAAATTAAAATAAAGTTTCTAAATGAACAATTTTACTCTAAGTGTATTTTTATATTAATATATGTATATAGATTAATAAAAAAGTACACTTGGTATGACGAGAGATATGATATAATCTCTCGTCATACCAAGTGTACTTTTTTATTAATGTATATACATATAAATATCAAAATACACGTGTGTGTGTATGTGTATATATATATATATATATATATATATATATATATATACATATATATAAATTTAATTAAAAATAAATAACTTAATATATTATACATATGTAATGCATATATATGATTTCATTATAAGTGTACTTTGAGATATATACACATCTCAAAATACACTTATAATGAAATCATATATATGCATTATATAAAATACTTTAATAATAATAATATATTATACATATATAGGAAATAAAAGTGTGTGTATATTTAATGTTATATATATGTATATATTTGAAACAAAAACCACATTTATAAAAACTAACTTTGGCAAGTGTTTGTGACTAAGTGGCTACTACAAAAGACTGGACCCCATTTTGAATACCCTGTACACATTTGTCTACATTTGAAAATGGTATGCCATGATGGGGTTATTTCACATTCCTGGGCTACCATATGGTCTCAAAAGGCAACACAGACCCGGCAAACCAATCTGTCAAACTGAATTGGGCAAGCCCTATTTTGACCCTGTAACTTTCCAAAAATAAAACCTGTACAGGGTGGGTATTGTTATACTCGGGAGACTTTGCTCAACACAAATATAAGTGTTTAAAACAGTAAAATGTTTTCACAACGATGAAATCACCAGTAAAAGTGCAGTTTTTATGTGTTAAAAAAAAAAAAATGCCTAAAACAATAATGAATGCTAACTTTGGCAAGCGCTTGTGACTAAGTGGCTACTACAAAAGACTGGACATACCCAATTTTGAATACCGTGGGTTGTCGACTTTTACAAATGGTATGCCATGATGGGGTTCATTTTCATTCCTGCGCTGCTATACGGTCTCAAAGGCAACATAGGCCCAGCAAACCAATCCGGCAAATTTTAATGTGCATGGAAATGAGGAAAGCCTAGTTTGACCCTAGTAAGTTTGCAAAAACCCATAAAACCTGTACATTGGGGGCACTGTTGTACTCGGGAGATATTGCTGAACACATGGAAAGTGAAGGGTTATTCAGGGATTCCTGACAGATATCAGTGTTACAATGTAACTTGTGTATATTTTGGGGGGAAAAAATGGTTTGTAAATAGCAAAGGGCTACTTGTACCTATTGCCCTATAACTTTTCAAAAAAAGCTAAGAACATTTTAACATTGGGTATTTCTAAACTCAGGACAAAATTTAGAAACTATTTAGGTGTTTTTAAAAAAAAGTTTTAATATTTTTTATTTTCAGCAAAGGCAAGTAGATGAGGTAAATATCAGATTGTTCAATAAGTACAGATGGCAAAAGACAATAGCATTGAACAACATGTGACCCTTTTGTACTTAATGGTGTATGATGGATCGCACGCAGGTGATGAGGGTCTCTTGCTGAACTTCGCTGGTGTACTCAGTCTACTGCCTCATTTTATATTTTCAGTAGAGTAGGAAATACAGGAAAAATAGGTGGTAGGGATAGAGACATAAGTGAAGTTAAGTGATAACCGGTAGCTGTCCTGTTAGGTGGTAGGTCGTGCCCTCTTCTTACCTCAGGCAATCGGATCAGAAGGACCACCCATTCGATTTGTCTGGAAATCCCTATAATATCCGCTCCCTCTACTAGGGGCCAGGTGCGCTTTCATCAAGGTTTATATAGTACAGGACATGAAATAAAGAAAATTGCTGCATTAACCAGACCAAAAGTGTGTTGCCCACCACTCCCTGACCTTCCCCCATCTCATAGAATGGTGCCTTTTGTAGTGTCCGAGGTGGGGTCTCAGCCAGTGTCGAATTGCTCCCATAGATCTCAAACCTTGCAGAACGTTGTGGTAGTATTCCGCACTTGGGCGGTTAACTTGTCCATGAGGTAGTTGTCCCTGATTTTATTAGTGACTAGTGTGAGTGTAGGGGCCTCCATACATGACCACTTCTGTGGCAATGCCCTTTGGGCCGCTAGATATATCATATTAAAGAGTTTTTTTTGCTCATGCCTGGTAAGGCCCTCAGTCGGCCTTGAGAGTAGACATGCCCAGTGGTCTTATGCAATCTTCGTTGCATAATGAGCATAGTGAGATCCTATCTCTATCACCTTTTGCCGGACAGGACCACCACATGTGGATGTAGATTCCCTTGTTGCCACACTGATGCCAACAGGCATCTGTAGGGACTAATTTCATACAGTACAGCTTCGCTGGGGTGGTATACCACCGAAAAAGCATCCTGTAGGACTGTTTCTAGAGAGTCACGCACATTGATACCTCTGTGCATGCCTCCCAGATGTCCTGCCATTCCACCCCTCCAGGGTCTTCCCAAGATCAAAAGTGGTCCTCTGTTTAGTGGCTAGCCGCTCTATGTCTTTTTGTCTTGCAAAGTCCCGTATTTGAATGTAACGGAAGTAGTCTTGGAACCGTAGTGGTGTGATACTATTTAAGTGTTCGTAAGGGACTACTTTCTTACTGAGGTATAGGTGTACATATCTTTTGAAGTCCAGTGGCTTCCAACCCCTTACTTGCATACCCGGCGGTATTGATGTAAGCTGGGAGGGATATTCTTCATGGGAGTATTTTTGCTGGGGATCTATATATAGGATTAGGATCTAAACCTGTCATCAGTGATTTAATGTCAACCTGTGGCGGGATCGCTGCCTAAACTGTGAATTGCCTTGTTTATATGTGTGGATGTTCCCTCCTAGAATGTGTGTTTCCCCTTTTTGCAGTTTTGACTGAAAAGCCCTACAAAATAGCTTTTGACCACTCCGGGGCGCTCCCAGACACTCCAATTAGAACATTTAGAATGTTCACACTTCCCTAACGAGGTGTGGAAACCTCAAGGGAACAAGCGGCGCATGCTTCCCCTGGGTGGCTGCCGGTTCGTATCATCGAACGCACACTAGGGGGAGCACTTGACTCCCGAACCAGCCTGCGTACACGGTCTTCAATCCCGGTGTCAGGGATCAGCCTACCTGCTCCCCAACGGAGCTATATTCACTCATCTCTTTCCCCTACGTGGGAGCTACGAGGCTAGGCTTGTGGCTGCCCAGGAGAGCCCTCTCCCCGGTGGCTACCTGCGTGGGGATATGCACCGGAGAGAGGGACGCGCAACGACAAGGAGTCCCTGGGGCAGCAGAGTTCCTGCTGGCCGCATGGATGTCCGTGCCGACCAATGGGAGGAGTGTCCATTCAAACTGGGTTCGCGCCATTCTCCTGGTTGATCGACATGAGTAAAGTGCTGATTGGTCGCCGCAGGGAGCGGTTCAGACTCGGGGGTATTCAGCACTATAAGATTTAACCCTGTACCCCCTTCCCGTCCTGGGGCGCCGAGCCCCAAAGTTCACCCCCCTGTATGTAATGTGTATTCATGTGTGTCTCTGTGTACTGTTAGTATCTCCCAGACCAGGAGATGGTTATCTGTCACTCTGCCCCCTCCTGATTGGTTTTTCATGTTGTGTGGATGGAGACCCCCTGTGGAGATCTGTGCATAAAAAGCTGTCAAAAGTTGTATCCTGGAGGGGGCGGGGCCTGACCTTCATGGAGAGAAGTCGCATGTCGGCTGAGCTCCGAGCTGAAAGCGGCAAATAACCTAGCTAACAACTACAAAATAGACGGTGCACCGCCGAAAACTAAGCATACCCCTGCACAACAATATGGGGAAACGATCAAAGAAGCTGAAAGCATCCTCGGACGACGGCACGCGTCGAATAGGAGACATATTCCTGGCGAGGCCTAAAACCAAAATGGCGGCAGCGCCAGACTCCCCAGGCCTATCCTCGGACGAAGACCCACTGGACTCCCCAGATGCCATACCTGAGGCAGATGACCCTTTCTCCGCCGTGCAATTAGGGGACCTGGGGGCTCCCGCAACGAAGGGAGACATCCTGGGCCTCCTGAAACACCTGCGCACATGGTTCCGTACGGATATGGCGTTGCTCCGTGAGGAGGTAACAGCCGTGACGGACAGGGTGAAGGCCACAGAGGAGGATATCACCTCCATGGCACAATGCCAGACAGACGCAACAGAACGACTACAACAACTCCAAGGCTCACACCAGGCCCTGCAGGCCAGAGTCAATGCGATGGACGACTCTAGGAGACGAATCAACATAAATGTAAGAGGCATCACAGAAGCTGTCAACGACACGGAGCTACCCCACTTTATTAGGCGCCTCCTGTCGGAGACCCTGCACCCCAAACAGGCGAAGAACCTGCAACTGGATGGAATACTCAGACTCCCCAAGTCCGCAAGGGCTCCAGCTGACGCTCCCCGCGATGTCCTCCTGAGGTTCCAGTCCCTACGCGACAAACAAGCACTGATGGACGCCATCAAGAACAAGAGCCCGCTCAAATTTGAGGGCTCCCAACTAACCTTTCTCCAGGATCTCTGCAGGGCAACGTTGGAGTGGAGACGTTCTATCAGCCAGGTCACCAAGACCCTTCGAGAAGCAGGCATCCAGTACAGATGGGGCCCTTCCCACACACTCGTAGCCACACAGGGCGAGACCACCCGCCGACTCACCTCAGCTGCTGACGCCGACCCATTCCTCCACAGCCTGGGGCTCAACCGGCACAAGCCCGACACTGCCAAACCTGGACACTCCTGGGACATATCCAACATAGTCCCCTTTGTACCTCGCACTGAAGCCGACACAGGATGAGACGCCCCAACCAGACCCGGGCCCACAATACCCCTCTGGTAGAGGGAAGTGCCGAAGGACTGGCAGGCGATAATACCCCTTAATGTTGACAGTCATAAAGTTAAAATTTTATGTAGGCATGTTCAGTCAAAGCCATCCAGCTACTATAACCTACTAACGTCCCCACACCACTTCTCGCCAGACACACCACCCGACTACCCCCCCCCCACCAACTCAGGGGCCTTAGAGCGATTCAATAGCTACTCCACCCAAACGGGAACGATAAACCAGCTCCCAAATCCAAGCAGCACACCCCCACAACACAGCAATAGTCACAGCACACGAACCAGCATGCATCCTCACCAAACATCTATAACACAACGCTGCTATCACGGCACACCAAGAGGGCTACTCTCTAGGTGACACACTCGAAAGCTGCGACAACCTACCTGCTGGAGTACTAGCCCAATAGAACATAATGCCTGCAGTAGCCCGCACCTTGGGACAATTGACTAGCTAGCTAACTCCCTGCCCCCCCCGCCACACTGACCGGCCATACACTTATATATTGTGCCCCAGTGGCATACCGAATATGTACCCGTAACTCCACCTGATAGGGCTAGGAACGCACCGCGCAACACACGGTGAACAAACTAAATCTAACCTATCCAAAGGACAAGACGGATAGCCTGCTCACTTATACATTGGACCACCCACCTCAAAACCACAGTACACTTATATTACAGTCAGTGTGGACTAACAACAGGGCATAGCTGAGCACACTCCAATCACACCACATATTCTAGCAACTGTAGGCCTAGACTGTTTTTTCTTGTTCTGCAATGTAGTAATTTTAACAAAAATGTGCAGTAATATCACGTGCCATTCATATGTATATTAATGTCTTAATCTGTTTGCCCAAGCTGTTGTGGCACGGCAAGCCTGATTGTCATATTCATGCACAATAAAATAAAGAATTATAAAAAATAAAAAAAAGTTGTATCCTGGAACTGTGTCCCGTTCAGTTACAAGGCAAATGGTTCTGACCTATCCTAACAAAAGGGGATAACCAGCCAGGTCCCACTACACCACCCATCGTCTTTTGTCGGGTGGTGAGTGCCAGTGGATAAGTTGTGTCATTTGTGCCACTAGATAATACAGGTAAAAGTTGGGTAGGCCCAGTCCTCCCCTCGTCTTAGGTCGGTATAATAAGCTACGTGCCAATCTAGGGTGTTTATTTTGCCAAATGAATGTGTCAATTGCCCTCTGCGTCCCAGCTAGGTCTCCCTTGGTGACACCCACCGGTAGTGCCTGAAATAGGAAGAGTAGTCTTGGGAGTATATTCATCTTAACAGCATGAATGCGTCCCAGCCATGAGATTGGCTTGTCCTTCCATTGCTCCAGTTCCCTGATGAGGATCTGGAAGAGGGGAGAGTAGCTGCGGTGATACAGGAGATTTGGGTCCGCAGTTAGGTGGATACCTAGATAGGTGAACTCCTTCTGGGAGATCTGTATGCGGTGTGTCGTGCGTATTATTTGCCCCGAGCCGAGAGATGAAAGGGCATAGCAGTGAAATTGGTGAGGTAGACTTTATATCTGGATAGTGTTCCATATTGTTGCAAGAGTGTGGTTAGGTGTGTCAGGGATGTCAGTGGGTCCCCAAGGGTCAGTAGGACATCGTCTGCGTATGCGGAGACTTTGAATTGTTAGCCCATTATTTTCATCTCCTCTATGTGCGGGTCTGAGCGGATGGCAGTTAGTAGTGGTTCTAGGGTAAGCGCAAACAGGGGGGAATGTGGGCAACCTTGTCGTGTCCCATTACCTAAGTGGAAGGGAGTTCTGTTTGCACCCATAATGAGGGTCTGAGCCTGGAGGTTGGAGTATAGTGCCTTGATCACTGTCAAACGGCTCTGGGATTCCCTGTGAGTGTAGTAGGTGAAATAAGAATGGCCAAGTGACCCTATCGAAGGCTTCCACAGCGCCAGAGAAGGAACCTTAGGCTCTGTCATCCACCAAATCAGGTCTGCTTCCTGGCAGGTATTTTCATACAGCTGCCTGCTGGGCATCAGGGTGTATGAGTTTGTTTAGTAATGGTGTTAACCGGGTGGACAGGATTTTTGCAAAAAAAATTATATCTGAATTGATTAGTGAGATGGGTCTGTAGCTTGGGGCTAGCGTTTCGTCTTTGTCAGGTTTTGGGATGAGGACGATATTGGCAGTGGCCCTGTCTGCATTAGGTGTGCCCCCTTGCATAAAATAGTTGGGATGCAGGGCCCTGGCTAGCAGAGTGTCAATTTTGTTGGATTTATCATAAAATAATCTTTTGGACCATAGCACCGAACGGGCTACATCCCCTAGCGATATGTCTTTGATGGAGAGTTGAATGGCTGTGAGTTCTGCAAGTTTGGTCGCTGTGGGGTTGGTCTTATGTAGCTGTTTGGCCTTCCGAAGGGCGGATTGCAAGTCTGCTAGTAATCTAGTTTTTGTCCGTTTTTTATGTGTGGCTGTCCCAATGAGGTGCCCTCGTATGACAGTCTTGTGAGACGCTCATGTCATTGTTGGGTCCACGTCAGGAGTGGTGTTGTTGGTGAAATAGTCTAGTATAGCGGTTTTGGTAGAGTTTCTAATATTGTCATCGTTAAGGAGGCTAGTATTAAGCTTCCAGGACCATGTGGTGGTAAAGTGAAGTTTGCCCAGAGTGACAGTGATGTCCGCATGATCTGACCATGTTATGCTCCCAATGTCAGAGTGTTGTGCTACGGCCATTCCCATACTGTTCCCCAAGATGTTATCTATTCGAGAGTATGGAGGGGAATAAAATGGATAATCCCGTGTGTCAGGGTGTGGATGCGGCTCAGGGGACTCGATCCTGCTGGGTTCCCAAGTCCCACCCCCAGCGTACAGTGCAGCATTTGTATGAACAAGCTTGTACATTTACTAGTCATTCCTCCACTCTCCCCACTTGACAGCCCCTCTTGGATAACTTGATTCACACAGGCGGGTGGACCACCGTGCTTGGTGTCATTCATACACTTTTTGGTACCTGAGACACTTTTCAGGCATTTTCAGCAGGATGCCAGTCTCTGGGTAGAAGGTCAGGGCAGTGTAAACTGAGACCTGTAGTGCAAAGTCTGCTGGTAGTTCAATCTCCAGGTCTTGGAAGAAGCTCTATGGTGCAGCTCCCGGTAGTACGTTGTTGGTTTTTCCCACTTTAAATGCGACTACCTTAAAGGGATGTCCCCATGTGAAGCGGATGTTGTGGTTTCTAAGCTAGTCGGCCACCAGTATCCAAATGAGTCTCTTCTGTAAGGTGGTGGGGGATAGATCTTGGTAGAGGGATATTGTTACAACTTTATAAATGAAGTCATGGTCCCTACCATATCACAGTACGGCCTCTTTGGTAGTAAAATAATAGAACCTAATAATAATGTCCCGGGGCACCTTGCTGTCTGCCCTGCAAGCCCGATCGATAGTCCACTGTTCGTCAGGGATGTCTGTGACAATGTTTTTGAAGTAGTGTTCCGTTGTCTATTTTAGTTAGCCTTCGTTGGGGTCTTCTGGCAGGCCGCGGATCCACAAGTTATTTCTCGGAGACCAGTTGCATAGGTCTTCCATCTCCAGCTCTAATTCAACTGTTTCTTGAGCTTCATGGAGTGGGTCACCATGGCATTGTGTGCTTGCACCATGGCCTCTACTTGGTTCTCCAGGGCTGCAGTGCGCTTGCCCAGGGCCTGGATTTCGGCTTTCATCTCTGTGGAACTCTGCGCAATCACCCCAGCTAGGTAGGTTTTCACCAATTTGTGTAGTATTAAGGAAGGCCTCACTGAGCTGAGAATCTGGCTGTTGGCTCCCGTATGTGGGCTGGTGAAGGCGAGCCGCGTGTGCCGGATCGACGACCATCTTGTTGGGTCTGAAGCGTGTTTGAGGCCATGAAGAGGTGATTACTTGTGCAGGATGGAAGGTTGAATTCGCAGGAGCCTTTACTCTAAGCGCCCATTCAGGTCAGCAGCCAAACCACGCCCCTAACACAGGTGTTTTTTGGCGGTTGTGGATGCATAACAGATTTTGGGGGTCAAAGTTAGAAAAAGTGTTTGTTTTTTTAAATTTTCTCATCATATTTTATAAAAAAAAAAAATTATAGTAAATTATATGAGATGATGACAATAATAATGGTATCTTTACAAAGATCATTTAAAGATGAGAAAAACGGTATATAATATAAGTGGGTACAGTAAATGAGTAAGAGGAAAATTACAGCTAAACACAAACACCGCAGAAATGTAAAAAGAGCCCTGGCCTTTAATGGTAAAAAAAATTGAAAAACTGTCTGTCTAAGGGGTTAAGACTATGTCCTCTTATTGTGGTACTTTTTATTCTATTAAATATAGTCTCCTCCTTTACTGAGTTGATTCCCTTTTATGTATTTAAATATTTCTATCATATCCCGCCGTCTCGTCTTCCCTTCAAGCTATTTCCTGAAATAACACTATGGCCTGGGAGGCATACCCTACTGAGTGATAAGAGGATGTTTATCCATTATAATACATACCATTTTCACATTAGATAAAATGTCAATTAAATGTTCCACCCCTCTGTATTCTCTAGGAGACCACATACTCTACAAACGTATTGACAGCACTCACCAAATGATTAAGTGCATCCTTTCATGGTGCATGGTTTTATAGTAGAATATCTTTCATTACAGATATATTATTAAAGGGAAGTTGGAGACATGCAACAACAGTTCAGTTTGGGGGTGGGAGGATGACAAAAAACATGCTGTTATGCACATAAGCAAGCAAGAGTCGTAAATGTAAATTTAACAGCACAAATAATCTCCTATCCATAACCAAGCAAGAAAAAAAAAAAATTCTATATATATTATTTATTTAAATTTAAAAAGGGAAGATAAGAAATATACAGTACTTGACATTTTTCCAGTAGTACCAGCTAGATGTTCATCCCATAATCTAAGAGAGGAGGGACCATATATATATGATAATGCGTCTACCATCCTGAGCATGAAGGGGAAAGGAGAGTATTTAGGAATAGCAAAAGCACAGGATGGAAGATGAAGAGTCTCTCCAAAGTAGAGAAAATAAAAAGATACAAGAATACACACATGTAGAGCTAGACTAATTATCTCTTCAGCTGATTATTAAAGCCAATATTCAGTATCTGTCTTGTAATCTACCGATATTATAGATAACTTACTCACCTCTACCAGTCACCGCACACCATCTTCTGCATCCAGAAACTAGAGGAGCCACGTTGTAACCTCATGTCACCCTTCCATGCGAGTCCCCACAAGTGGAGCTCAGCTAAAGGAAGGGAGGTGAGAGTGAATAACCTACTGTAATGTAATGTGCTGTATGACTGAGATAAGAATGTGATTGCTACACCATGCTAATATACCTGCCTGATTCTTGAATGCCTCAAATAATTGGACCTGCCCTTGCAGAATAAAATATATATACGAGGAAGACCATAAGCCACTGTAAAGAGACATATTAGAACGCATGTGATGGTGAGAAGGGGAGATCCAGATAGTGTAGACGTCCGATCACCTCCCTGACCAGGCACATTACTTCATGGTCTGCATAAAGGCTAGCAGGATCAGTATAACTCCACTGGCCTCCTAGGGTCAAGTTCACAGGGAGATTCAGGGTCATCAAGCCAAGGGCAGTGGCTGCTTGAAACATTTAGCCAGGCTGTAGGTGTGCTGCCTCCCTTTAGTGTTTTGTCAGGAAAAAAAAGCCTCAGATTATGCCTGGAGATAACCACAGCAAAAACAGAGAACAGCAAGCTTGCATAAGAGTCAATGGCTACCAGGTTTCAAAAATTTCTTGACAGCGTTCAGTTATAGTGATATTTTCATGAGACCAGTCAGCATGGTCAGGCCTCTCCCTTGCAATGCATTTCAACACTAAATCCATTCATTTATGTAGGTTTGCATAGATCTCAAACATACAAACTAACCAAACGTGTAATTGATGTTTATTTAACACTAATGAAATTTGTACCAAATAATATGATGATAAATGCTTGTAGAGTCAATTACATCACAGACAGACATGTGTGCAAATATGGTTAATAACATGGTCACAACAACATTAAGGGAGAAAGGAAAAGGTAAATGCCTACCCAAGCTGCAACATTCTGATGATGGTGAAGAATGGAATTCTGCATACCATACGTTTATGCAGCGGCGGACTGACCACTCTGGCAGATCGGTCAATAACCAAGGGCCCAAGGCAGTTAGGGGCTCAGCCGGCTGAACAGCCATACTCTCTCTGGCTGGGGAGATCAGAAATCTCCCCAGCCAGAGAGGCACAATTACACAGGATAGATTGCCCTGATGTGTCCCCTCACCTGCAGAGTGAGACTTGGCAACAATCCTGGTGTTGCCAGGTCTTCTCCATCCTCTCTGTGCGGAGCTCTGTGTGAGGGGAGGAGGCAGGGCCCGGGGAGTGCAAGTGACATCACTTCCTGCCCTCCTCTTCTGAATCTGCAGGGTGGCTGAAGCTAAGGAGCAGCCTGGCAGAAATAGAAGGAATGTAAATCCCACATACAATTTCACCTACACCTCAGCCCCATTCCCCCTGCACACATTTCCTCCCCCACCCACCTCATCCCCCATCTCCCCTCCACCCACATCAGCTGGCATCTCCCCTTCACCCACCTCAGCCCCATTGGGATGTATTAAAACTAGGAGGGGGGGGGGACAAAAGGGTGATGCACCCATATCAGCTTGCATCACATGCCCCCTTCAACAACCTCCCCCTCCACCGTTAGCCCCCATTGCCTCTAGCACCCACCCCCATCAGCCCTCATCTCCCTCAGCACCCACCTCAGCCCCATGCCCCCTCCACCCATCTCAGCTAGTAATTCCAAGCAGCACCCATCTTCCCTTCACTCACCTCAGCCCATGCCCTCCACCCACCCCCTTAGCCCCCATTACCCTCCACCCACCCCTCAGCTAGTATCTCCCAGCACCCACCTCAGCCCCCACCCCCCTCTACTTAAGCCCCCATGAGCCCTGGTGGGACTTACCTATGCCGTGATCCTCTTCAGTTGGGACTATCAGGCCCCCAGGGGCCATGTGACAGCTCTCAAAGAGAGAGAATATATATATATATAAATACATATATACACACACACACACACACATATATATATATACACGTATAATTACAATAATAAATAAAAAAATATTTTTAAAAAATGAATACTTTTTTAGAGAGAGAGATATATATATATATATATACACACACACGTAATTTCATTCTTACTGTATTTTGTTAATATGTATATATATTTACATGATTACATAAGTATACACGTAGAATTTAAATATGTATTTATATTAAAATTCTACGTGTATGTTTAAGTACTCTTTTAGCATAATTATGTGATTTTATTAATTAAAATTTGATTGACATGCCTGACAGCCCAGGCAGAAAGTGCAGAGAATTTAATTCGCAAGCACTACATGTGACTAAGTGGCTACTAAAAAAAGAATTGACATACCCCACTTGCAATACCTTAGGTTGTCTACTTTTGCAAATGGTATGCCATCATTGGGGTAATTCTCATTCCTGGGCTACCACACAGTCTCAAACGTAACATTACTAATCTCGCAAATTTTAATGTGGAAAAAAACGGAAAAATTAAATGTGCTATATTTGACTCTTTAATTTTCCAAAACACCGTAAAACCTGTTAATGGGTGGTACTGTTGTACTCGTGAGACTTTGCTGAATACAAATATGTGCATTTTATTGCAGTAAAAGCACAGTTTTATGACATTTTACAGCTAAAATGTCAGACGGAACTACAATAATTATGTTTCATATATGAATAATCCATGAGAACTTAAAGCCCTGTATCTCCTGAACAAAATTATATATAATAAGTGTGGGTGCACTTAATATGAAAGAGTTGAATTAAGGCTAAACAGACATCTAGCGCAAATTCCAGTTTTTGGTTTGATCAGAACGTGTACTATTGACTCCGTCCTGAAGGGGTTAAAGTGCCTATTTTTATGGAAAATTAATAAAGCAACATCTGCCTGACTGTCTCTTTCAGGACAAACGCACTCTGCTAGAGTGCGGTGTTTACAATGGTCACTATCCTCGGGTCCCTGGCAACTGTGTTATCCTCCTGGCACTACCCATCTCCCCCCACCTATGCTGGCACACTCCAAAGGTCTGAGAACGCAAACTATGGACTTGAAAAAAAGGGATGACTTCAAAAGACTTCCAGCATAAGAACAGCAATTTATGCAAATACCTAACTGGGATGTATTAAAACTAGGAGGGGGGGGGGACAAAAGGGTGATAAAACATCAATCCAATTGTCCCCCAAAACAAGGACAGAAGGTGCCTGTAGCAAGTGTGTTAAAAATGATAAGCTTAGAGTCAAGTCTACAAATGCTCGCAGTTTAGGGAAAAAGATCCATGAACTTGTGGCAATCATGGCAACTGATGGTGTAGATATAGTCGATGTTACTGAGACATGGTATAATGAGAAAAATGACTGGGACATAGCAATGTCTGGGTACTCTTTATATAGAAAGGATAGGGAAGGCAAGAAAGGGGGAGGGGTGGCCCTGTATGTGAAGGATAGCATAACATCTAGCCTAATAAAAGTTAGTGAGGCAAACAGAGTCCGTTTGGATTACGTTAGAATTTGGTAATCACACAGTAACTCGTGTAGGTGTGATTTATAGGCCCCCAGGACAAATAGAAGAATTAGATAATCTACTAGTTGAGGAAATAGCTAAAATGACAATGAAGGGGGAAGTTATCATCATGGGTGACTTTAATCTTCCTGATGTAAATTGGAAAACAAAATTAGCTACTTGTGCCAGGAGCACACATATTCTAAACTCCCTACTGGGATTGTCTCTAAAACAAGTTGTTGAGGAGCCAACTCGTAAAGAGGCCATACTAGATTTAGTGTTAACAAATGGAGATTTGGTATCAGATATTACTGTAGGTGAAAGTTTAGGATCCAGTGATCATCAGTCAGTGTGGTTTAATATAAGAACAATGACTGAGTCACACCACACAAAAACAAAAGTTTTAGACTTTAGAAAAACAGACTTTTCTAAAATTAGAATATGGGTAGAGGAGTCATTATCAGACTGGAGCAATTTAAATGGAGTCCAAGAGAAATGGGATTATTTAAAAGTTGCACTATTGAAGGCAACAGAAAATTGCATTAGGCTTGTCAGTAAAAGCAAAAAATTCAAGAAACCACTGTGATACTCCGCAGATGTGGCCAAAATTGTTAAAGACAAAAAGTTAGCATTTAGGAATTATAAAAAAAAAAAACCAGAGTGAGGAAGACAAAATGACCTATAAGATTAGGCAGAAAGAGGCTAAGCAAGTTATAAGAGCTTCCAAATCACACACAGAAGAGAAAATAGCACAGTCAGTAAAAAAGGGGGACAAAACATTTTTTAGATACATAAATGAGAAAAGAAAAGTAAAACAAGGATTAGTTAGATTAAAAACAAAAGAAGGAAGGTATGTAGAAGAGGATAAAGGTCTAGCTGACTGCCTCAATGAATATTTTTGTTCTGTATTTACAGATGAAAATGAAGGAAAGGGACCTCAGTTGAGAAAAAGGATAAATGAGTCATTTATTACACGTGAGTTTACAGAGGAAGAGGTTCTATTTCAACTGTCAAAAGTAAAAGACAAATAAGTCAATGGGACCTGATGGAATACACCCAAAGCTATTAAAAGAGCTTAGTGGTGTACTAGCAAAACCATTAACAGATTTATTTAACCAATCATTGTTAACAGAAGTAGTCCCAGAAGATTGGAAGTTAGCGAATGTTGTACCCATTTACAAGAAAGGAAATAGGGAAGAGTCGGGCAACTATAGGCCAGTAAAGCTTACTTCAGTAGTGGGGAAAGTGATGGAAACTATGTTAAAGGATAGGATTGTTGAACATCTAAAAACATATGGATTTCAAGATCAGAGACAACATGGGTTTACTTCAGGGAGATCATGCCAAACTAATCTTACTGATTTTTTTTTTTGATTGGGTAACTAAAATTATAGATTAGGGTGGTGCAGCAGACATTGCTTACCTAGATTTCAGTAAGGCTTTTGACACTGTTGCACATATAAGGCTTATCAATAAACTGCAGTCTTTAAGTTTAGATTCCAATATAGTTGAATGGGTAAGGCAGTGGCTGAGTGACAGGCAACAGAGGGTTGTAGTTAATGGAATACATTCGAAGCTTGGACTTGTCACCAGTGGGGTACCTCAGGGATCTTTACCTGGACCCATTCTCTTTAATATTTTTATTAGTGATATTGCAGAAGGTCTTGATGGTAAGGTATGTCTTTTTTCTGATGATACTAAGATATGTAACAGGGTTGATGTTCCAGGAGGGATAAGCTAAATGGCAAATGATTTAGGTAAACTAGAAAAATGGTCAGAATTGTGGCAACTGACATTTAATGTGGATAAGTGCAAGATAATGCATCTTGGACGTAAAAACCCAAGGGCAGAGTACAGAATATTTGATAGAGTCCTAACCTCAACATATGAGGAAAGGGATTTAGGGGTGATTACGGTATTTCTGATTACTTAAAGGTAGGCAGATAATGTAATAGAGCAGCAGGAAATGCTAGCAGAATGCTTGGTTGTATTAGCAGTAGAAAGAGGGAAGTGCTCATGCCATTGTACAGAACACTGGTGAGACCTCACTTGGAGTATTGTACACAGTACTGGAGACCGTATCTTCAGAAGGATATTGATACCAGAGAAGGGCTACTAAACTGGTTCATGGATTGCGGGATAAAACTTACCAGGCAAGGTTAAAGGATCTTAACATGTATAGCTTGGAGGAAAGACGAGACGGGGGGATATGATAGAAACATTTAAATATATAAAGGGAATCCACACAGTAAAGGAGGAGACTATATGTAAAAGAAGAAAAACTACCACAACAATATCAGGAAGTATTACTTTACTGAGAGGGTAGTGGATGCATGGAATAGTCTTCCAGCTGAAGTGGTAGAGGTTAACACAGTAAAGGAGTTTAAGCATGCGTGGGATAGGCATAAGGCTATCCTAATTATAAGATAAGGCTAGGGACTAATGAAAGTATTTAGAAAATTGGGCAGACTAGATGGGCCGAATGGTTCTTATCTGCCGTCACATTCTATGTTTCTAACTAAATGCATTCATGTTTTTCATTGGGGTATATCTACTAAATTTAGATTATTTTTTTTTGGTTTGTCTTTACAAGGAAAACAATGGTGTAGTGAACACAAACCAGTATTATTAATGCTATAGTGCCCCTCTCTCTTGGTATATACAGGTCCCCCCTTCACAATAATTAAAACAAAAGATGTATTTACCTGTTTCCAGTGCCTATGCTCCCATCGGCGTTTCTCACCTCCCGCCTCCATCGACATCATAGGCAAGGCATGGCCTCCTCTGGCAATGGTTCAATCCTAAGCTACTCATCTGAGGAGCATTGGGGACATGATGCTTGGCAAGAGCATCCAAGCTTTCCCATAGGAAAGCATTGTAATCAATGCTTTCCTGTTGGCATCCGCATCACATGACTGAGATTTACTGTACTGTACATTACACTGTACTCCGCCTACAGGCTCTCACCACATTCCACTGAGAGCAATGGAACAGCCCAATGCCTTTCATGTGTAGAAAGAGCCACTTCGTCAGAGGTAATGGCTATTATTTAGGGTTTTTAATCTTTTGGTAGAGTACAGTAGCTTCTGTTCGGATACAGTGAGCACTATTGAAGTGTGCTTTCATCTTTCAAATCCAGTGGAATATTGGATCATACATACCCAGTTTGTAACATAATTGTGGATCTTATTTTAGCATATTTTTTTCCATTTTTCTTTAATAACATTGTTTATTATTATTGAAATATTTACTGAAACAATACCTGAGTTTTCCGAACTCGTAAATTGACAGAGGATCTGTTGGAATGTGCATCCTGCTCAATTGTTTGTTCAATACCTGTAAAATATGTAGATCAAATGTTACATCAGGCATAGAAAGAAACCAAAACACAAAACTGCATCACCACAAGTGTACTAGAAGTTGTTCAAGGTCACAGCATCTTTGTAACAAATGTTGCTTTAAAGCAGCTCTGTCACCTTTTGGAATCTGCATATTTTGCAAAGACACTCGATAGTGGCATTGCTGCTTGCCGTATCGTGGCAGGTAGGCTTTATACACCTGAAGATGTCCATCTCCTGGAAGCCCACATCAGTGCCGTACTTTCGCACACATGTTTGAATAAAATACTGATGTCTATGGAAGATCCTGCAAGACTCCATAGACAATGCCATTTTCACCATAACTCTCACTGTTGACAGCTTGGGGGGAGGGAAAACATGTGACAGCGTTAGCTTTTGGTAAACTTTTGTCAAGTGTAGGAGAAATGCATACAACTATATAGTTCCTACTATGTCTTATGATAGAATTTCACTGAAACTTCACGCATTCAAGCTAACAGTCAATGCGAGTATTTCATAAAAGTGTTTATTTTCATGAAATATTCAATTGTGTAGCACATTTTGTGTAAATTTGAAATAAATAAAATTACTGAGTACACCTTTGTCTGCATTAGTTATAAAGAGTATTTGTTGCCCCCAACACAGTGTTAGTTTGGCAACAAATTTCAATTTAGTTTTAGTCATCTGAATTGTTTTAGTCAACTAAAATGAGACAGATTGTTAGTCGACAAAATGAACACTGTCCCAACATCAATTTTTTTTTAGGTTAATCTTAATGTGAGTGTCCTGAGTGTTCTCTACGTTACTGATGTCAATTTCCTTTCTTTAACATACAGTGACCTAGACGTTTGTGTCTCTTATGTTTATGTAAACACACGATTTGAGAGTGCAGTAGCTGTCCCTATCTAGTGCTAGTTAGTCCGAAACAGCATCAGCTGTTCTAGTTCTAAAGACATACTCAAGTTCTTTTAATATATTCAAGTTCAGTGTCATCACGCAAAAGCATGATAATGCCCAAGAGCTATAATGCTACTCAAGTAGCAAAGGTTTTGCAGAGTGCACCATAGATCTCCAATGCCTCCCTATAAAAATATCTTAAAGGGATTCTCTAGTGCCAGGAAAACAAACCTGTTTTCCTGGCACTAGAGAATCCTGCAGTGGCCCTCTCCCTCCCGCCATTCCATGTCACTGAAGCCACTTACCTAAATCCGGCGCCAAAGCCCTTCCGGTGATGCTGGAGGTCCTCGTGCAGACAGTGGCAGACAGCCACTAGAGGAGGACTTAAAGGGACACTATAGTCACCAGAACAACTACAGCTTATTGAATTTGTTTTGGTGAGTAGAATCACTACCTTCAGGGTTTTTGCTGTAAACACTGTCTTTTCAGAGAAAATGCAGTATTTACATTACAGCCTAGTGACAACTTCACTGGCCACTCCTCAGATAGCTGTTAGAGATCCTTCCTGGGTCATGACTGCCTAAAATGCTTCCAAACATTCAGGATCTCCTCCCTCTGCATGCAGACACTGAAACTTCCTCCTAGAGATTCATTGATTCAATTCATCTCTATGAGGAGATGCTGATTGGCCAGGGCTGCGTTTGAATCATGCTGGCTCTGCCCCTGATCTGCCTCCCTGTCAGTCTCAACCAATCCTATGGGGAAGCACTGTGACTGGATCAGGCTACCACGTCAGCAGACTGCTTGTTTCTCTGAGGCAAACAGCATGCAGAGTTACAGCTTCAGGTTTGAATATAGTAAGATTTTTACTATATTTATGGAGGCATGAGGGGCCCAGAGGGGTTAGATGGTGGTGTTAACACTACAGGGTCAGGAATACATGTTTGTGTTCCTGACCCTATAGTGATCCTTTAATCATGCAAGGTAATTATTGCAGTTTATAAAAAAAATGCAATAATTACACTTGCAGGGTTAAGGGTGATGGGAGTTGGGACCCAAACCAAATGAGCTAAAGTGGTCTGGGTGCACAAAAAAAGTAAAAACGGTTAGCGCTAATAATAAAAGGCAGCAGCCTTATAGGGGGTCACCCTCTAACCCTCTACAATAAGAGTATACAAAAAAAACAGAGAAAAAAGGCTGCGCCAAGAGGGATAAATAAAACAAAAGAATTCAGTACAAATAAAAAACGTTCTGTGAGAGAGTTCCAGTTTTAGGTGGTGTCTCAACTGATGTGGTGTCTTCTTTGTTAACAGTTGTCCATCTCACGATATGAAAGACACAATGGGAAAGAGCTAATCGTGCAGAGTGTATAAATAAGAAATGGTGAAGTTAAAATATAAATTACACACTCACATGTCCATGAGCTAGGACCAGCTCTAGTATGATGGGCATACAGCGGATTGCCCTCCGCTTATGGGGGTACTTGTCCTCCTGGGGAGTGCTGATGTCCAATTCTCAGGAAAAGAGATAAAAACAGCCAATAGTGCTCTCTGGTGAGGTAGATAGTATAAAAAAATATAAAATAAATAAAATATACTCACAAGTAGAGTGCAGGCCTTTCTGCACTCTATATATCGCGTGGGTGGTATGATCCCCACCTTAGGATATGCCAGGAACAGTGAATAAGGATAAAATAGTATAAAGAGGTAATATATGTAAAATAATTTAATACAATATATTAAAACCAATAACGCGTTTCGCCGTAGAGGCTTTATCAAATTGGAATAGTGTTAGTACCTGGCACATAAAGAGTATATATAGCTTAAACATACATTCAAAAATTGGCGCTTAACAACGATCACCAATCAAAACTGAACAAAATGTAAATAAGGAATACATAAACAAAAATAAAAAGTAATGTACAGTATTGTTATATTAAAACATAGGATGGTATATATATATATATATATATATATATATATATATATATATATATAAATATCAATTAAAAACGAGGGTTTTTTTAATATAAAACAAAAGCAAGTTTAAAATACAATATCCGTGCGTGTCACGTGACCCGCAATGCACTCTGGGATGTCACGTGACCCGCACTTTATTAAGCACAATCAAGATCCTAAATTTCTCAAATGTTTAGGTATCCAGTAATGCGTAATACCTTGGAGAGGCGGCAATATAAAAAATATTCTCGGTAGATCAGAGATGGAATGGGTATTTAATCTACAAAACTTAACACCCCAAGGTCTAAATGTAGATTTTGATTTATTTAATTTTTTATAACTGCATTGTCTTTTATCTTAAATATTTTTTTTTTTATTTTTTTTTCTCTGGATTTTACTAATTTATTTGTCTTTTATTACTGGTATCATTTCCATAGATCTAGTGCTGTTTGTTTTTAAGTTATCTGATTTTATTTATTTACTCATGTTATCATTATTTTGAGACTGTAAATATACATATATACATAATTTGCTTATTTTTAATTCTTTCTGTGGGTATTAATAAGGTGGATCTTTTTAATATAGACCCCATTTTTAGCTTTATTTATTTTTACCCAAGTCTCACATTCTTTTTATCTCTAAACTATAATACTATTTCATGTATTTCTCCATTTAAATTATATTCTTTTTGCTAATGAGCCTATGTACTACATTTCCCATCACCCATGCGGCTCTGGTCACATGACCCGCGGGTATTGGTGTTGTGTGATGCCGCGGGTCACGTGACACAGCTTGATCCCGCCCTGCCGTCCTCTTCCACACTGGCCGCACGGACTGTATGCACATCGATAAACCACATGCGGTCACGTGGCCCGGCGCACTACAGATCCCAGAGTGCATTGCGGGTCACGTGACACGCACGGATATTGTATTTTAAACTTGCTTTTGTTTTATATTAAAAAACCCTCGTTTTTAATTGATATTTATATATATATATATATATATATATATATATATATATATACACCATCCTATGTTTTAATATAACAATATTGTACATTACTTTTTATTTTTGTTTATGTATTCCTTATTTACATTTTGTTCAGTTTTGATTGGTGATCGTTTTTAAGCGCCAATTTTTGAATGTATGTTTAAGCTATATATACTCTTTATGTGCCAGGTACTAACACTATTCCAATTTGATAAAGCCTCTACGGCGAAACGCGTTATTGGTTTTAATATATTGTATTAATAAATTATTTTACATATATTACCTCTTTATACTATTTTATCCTTATTCACTGTTCCTGGCATATCCTAAGGTGGGGATCATACCACCCACGCGATATATAGAGTGCAGAAAGGCCTGCACTCTACTTGTGAGTATATTTTATTTATTTTATATTTTTTTTATACTAACTACCTCACCAGAGAGCACTATTGGCTGTTTTTATCTCTTTTCCTGAGAATTGGACATCAGCACTCCCCAGGAGGACAAGTACACCCATAAGCGGAGGGCAATCCGCTGTATGCCCATCATACTAGAGCTGGTCCTAGCTCATGGACATGTGAGTGTGTAATTTATATTTTAACTTCACCATTTCTTATTTATACACTCTGCACGATTAGCTCTTTCCCATTGTGTCTTTCATATCGTGAGATGGACAACTGTTAACAAAGAAGACACCACATCAGTTGAGACACCACCTAAAACTGGAAATCTTTCACAGAACGTTTTTTTATTTGTACTGAATTCTTTTGTTTTATTTATCCCTCTTGGCGCAGCCTTTTTTCTCTGTTTTTTTGTATACTCTTAAAGTGGTCTGGGTGCCTACAGTGTCCGTGTAACTGGACCAAGAGCATCAGGACTGATGATCACAGAGTTGTACTCCCACTTAGGCAAAAACCATGTTAATACAGTTGATGTACCGTATATACTCGAGTATAAGCCGACCCGAATATAAGCCGAGGCCCCTAATTTTACCCCAAAAAACTGGGAAAACTTATTGACTCGAGTATAAGACTAGGGTGGGAAATGCAGCAGCTACTGGTAAATTTCTAAATAAAATTAGATCCTAAAAAAATTATATTCATTGAATATTTATTTACAGTGTGTGTATATGATGAATGCAGTGTGTGTGTGAGAGCGCAGTGTATGTATGAGTGCGCAGTGTGTGTATATGAGTGCAGTGTGTGTGTATGAGTGCAGTGTGTGTGTATATAAATGCAGTGTGTGTGTATATGAATGCAGTGTGTGTGTATGAGTGCAGTGTGTGTGTTTATGAGTGCAGTGTGTGTGCGTGTGTGATGCAGTGTGTGTGTATGAGTGCGCAGTGTATGTATGAGTGCGCAGTGTATGTATGAGTGCGCAGTGTGTGTGTATGAGTGCAGTGTGTGTGTATGAGTGCAGTGTGTGTATATAAATGCAGTGTGTGTGTATATGAATGCAGTGTGTGTGTATGAGTGCAGTGTGTGTGCGTGTGTGATGCAGTGTGTATGTATGAGTGCGCAGTGTATGTATGAGTGCGCAGTGTGTGTGTATGAGTGCAGTGTGTGTGTGTATGAATGCAGTGTGTGTGTGTATGAGTGCAGTGTGTGTTTGTGTTGCAGAGCCTTGGTGGGGGATGGGCATTTTTATAAAAAAATAAAATAAATAAAAATATTATTATTTATTATTTTAATTTTTTTGGTTTATATTATTTTTTTAATTATTTTTTTATTTATATTTATATATTATAAATTAATATTATTAAATTTTTTTGTTATATATATTTTTTTATTATTATTATTAATATATTATTAATTTATTTATTTTGTGTGTCCCCCTCCCTGCTTGATACATGGCAGGGAGGGGGGCTCTCCTTCCCTGGTGGTCCAGTGGCATTGGCAGTTCAGTGGGGTGAGGAGGGGGGCTGGCAGAGCTGTTACTTACCTCTCCTGCAGCTCCTGTCAGCTCTCTCCTCCTCCGCGCCGGTCCGTGCAGCTCTTCTGTCAGCTCACACTGTAAGTCTCGCGAGAGCCGCACTATGACCCCGCGGCTCTCACGAGACTTACACTGGGAGCTGACCGAGGTGCTGACCGGACCGGCGCGGAGGAGGAGGGAGCTGGCAGGAGCTGCAGGAGAGGTAAGTAACAGCTCTGCCAGCCCCCAGTCTGTATTATGGCAATGTAAATTAATGTAAATTGCCATAATACAGACAGTGACTCGAGTATAAGCCGAGTTGGGGTTTTTCAGCACAAAAAATGTGCTGAAAAACTCGGCTTATACTCGAGTATATACGGTATATGAGCGCTTATTAAAGTGTTATATCTATTGACTGACTGTGCTAAAAAAAATAATCTCTTAGCTGCTACCACAATGTGATATGATTTTTGGAGAATTGAAATGCACATTAAAGATAGAATTTTTTTTGTACCAGATTCAGTGGAGCACTTAAATATGTGCATAAAACTTAATAGTACACCTAGTGCAAACAAGGAATATATTGAACTTACAATTCAAACATCAAATAGTGATATAAATAGACCCGAGATTTTACTATTTTGATATTTTAATTGTAAGTTGTAATAAAGTATATACTTTTTAAAATTTAGACTTCTATTTATTTTATATTTTTTTTTTTTACCATCAATGTTCCTGCATTCTACAACTAAGGGTGGTATGGTCCCTAACCATACTCTGCTGTTCAACTGAACCAATTACTAGGCTCCAGGCTTGTGAGTATTTTACCTATTTATATGAAAATATTTGTTACAAACGGTATCACACAATATATATACACAAACACACATATTATATATATATATATATATATCTATATATATCTATATATATATATCTATCTTTCCTTGAGATACTGCATACTACTGCTGAATACATAAGAAAACTCCTAAACTACTCTTCATAAAGAAAAAGAGGCAGGTCGCCTAAACGGACCTACAGGCAAATAACTCCCAGAGCTAGGTTATAGCTCTGGAATAGGTGAGTGTTCCAATGTAACCTAGCTCTGGGAGTTCAATATATTTCTTGTTTGAACTAGGGTACTATTAAGTTTTATCCACATATTTAAGCGCTTCACTGAATCTGGTACAAAAAACTGTCAATGACTTGCATAGTGCTACCCCTGTTGGATTAGTCACATTTTACAAGCAATAAAGCACGTCTTCATTGTAGATGCGTATTGAGACATGATCCTTCTTTAGAGAAGTTGGCAAAAATTTGGTTTCACACTGCAAGGTGCTAGAAAATCAACATAAGTACTATCTTACATTTTAACTTGGTTCGCACTTTATTGGCAACGTTCTTAATTTCTTTGTTAAGATTCTCAAGATCTTCCTTCGTTCCTGAAAGAAATATGAACACAATTTACACAGGATTCTTAACTCACATTGACTTAAGCCGATTAATACTAACCCAGGGCTTGAAGATTATTTTTTTTAAGTTTTGAATCTAGGAGCCAGTTTTTTTGTTTTTTTTAAACTAACAAAGTTTAATTTTCAACGAGCAAAAAGGGACACCAATGTCACCACATTTTAATGTAGTTCTGTTGTCTATAGCCTGTTCCTGCAGGCTTTTCAATGTAAACATTGCCTTTTCAGAGAAAAGGAGAGTAAAAACACCCTTCTCATGCAATTGGAGGGGTCTGGTACCTAAACAGACATACACTGACAAGCACACACTGACTGACTGACTGACATACACATGTTGCTAATTTTTTATTTTTTTTAGCTAAATCCACCCAGCCTCCCAACCTTTGGGAGAGCTGAGTGGTTCTTTTTCTGGCTCCAAGTGGGGCTGCTCTCCAATCTTCCAAGCAGTTCCTCTCTGCTTCCCTGCATGCTCTCTGTTGTGGTGCTGAGGCTGGAGTGATGTCCTATTCAGTCTCCCGGCATCACTAAACAGCGCGTGAGGGAGCAGAGAGGAGCTGCAGGAAGATAACTGCTCCAATGCTCCCTGTCTGCTTGTTTACATTTGGGGTTATTCCAGCCTCTAGTGGATGTCTTCTGGACAGCCACTAGAGGCGCATCTGTGATGCTGGAGGCACATTTCGCCTCCATCGCGCAGAACGTCAATGAGAAAGCCTTGAGAAATGCTTTCCTATGGACACTTTGAATCCGCACGTGGCACTTGCGCATTTGGCTCCGCTGACGTTGGAAGGGGGAGGAGAGGTCACCAGCACCAAGGGAGCCCAGCACTGGATTAAGGTAAGCTGCTACGGGAGGTACACTGAGGATGGGGGCACCCTCAGGGCACTATAGTGTCAGGAAAAACGCTTTGTTTTCCTGACACTATAGTGATCCTTTAAGTGTCCAGGTTTGAAAATCCTATACCAGGAAGCATATGTTAACAAAACTTTTAATCAAAAACATATTAAGTTCAATTTAAAAGGGAAGATCACAATGAAAACATAGTAGCATAAGCACATCTAACAAGAATCTGGTTTATGGGCATACTCCAAGGAAACATAGATTTGGTAGTTTGCCCTGGGATAAAGATTCAGTCTTGTGGAAATGGATAGATCTGTAGAATGTGGTCCCAATGCATATTTCCTGCAGAGGATAATTAGTATCTCACAGGGCCCCAAGCAGGCAACCAGTTTGCCCTACCCCTTTCATTCTTCGTATAGGAATGGTGAATGGGGCCAAACAAAATAATAGATCCTGGGCTCCAGCCTAGGTCACCTAAAAAGATTAATCCTGCTCTGTGTTCCTGTCATGTACCCCTACCACTTACCCACAGCCACATAAAACGGTCACCAGGACATACTAGCAAAGATAAGATCTCAATATTCGGCCCTTGTTCAATGCACGTTGACTGGTTACAACAGCTGAAAACAACTTAGTATGTGTTTGAAAATTGCATGCCCCCTCTGAAAGACATGCCTCCATCTGCATTATCAGCAGCGACATTTGTTTTTCATTTTCCCTCTCATCTTCCAATGCTGTGTGGTAAAAAAAAAATTGGCATTCTGCAGCGATAGCAAAGTTTACATGCCTCTAGTGGCTGTTGCTCAATTATTTTTTTTTATTTTTTTTTAAATATATTTTATTGTATTTCAACTATACTTCCAAAGGGACAAAATAAACAATGACTTTTCATACACAAAACATTAATATTCAAAAATCCATCACATTCATATAAAAGTCATAACACAACAAACAAATATGACAAATTTCATGCCGAGAGGAGAACAATAGGGAGCTATATGGTTTGATCTCAGAGTTCCAGGCTCGCCTTTGAGTCAGTATGCGGAAAATCTGCCAGTTTAAATTTGGCTGTGGCCTGGATACTCTGTCACTCAGGATCAGCCATAATCTCTCGTTATAGTTTCTCTAACCAAAAAGTACTATAGTCTTTATTCTTCAGATCTTTGCCATATATCTTGTCCAACTGTGATTCCATTCCCAGTTGAAACTTAACTTGAGATAACAGCTTATCTGAAGAAAAAGGTAATTTTTCCAGTTCCTGGCTATTGTTATCTTTACCATAAAATCAATATAAATAGTCAAGTCCTTCTGGTATAAAGATTCGATATTTAAATGTAAAATAGCGTTTTCTGGAGATTTAGGAATAGGCTTAGAGATTAGATTTTCGAGAATGTGAGTAAACTATGGCTGGAAATTTTTGACAATCTCACATTCCCACCAAATATGTATAAAAGAGCCCAACTCCATAATGAAAGGGCTAAGGTGGGGAGAGCGAGGGGACCAGCCCGGTGCCACACCGAGAAGCGGATGGGACCAAGGCCCGCACCTACCCCACACACGACACAAGTAAGCTAGATCACTGACACCCGAGCATAACACTAATTATAAAGATCACCACCACTGGGGTGAACAAAGAAGGTGAAACACCGGGTCAGGTCAAACTAACTGGGCATATAGCTATCAAATAGACCCTGGGGCTTAGATTCAGACAGGATGAACAGCTGAAGCAAACCTAAAAACCCATACAAGACCAACCGAAAGAATCGTAGGTCACATGGGCTAGGACCTCGGGGGTCACTGTTTATTTCATTGTAAGCTATGAACTTGCAACATTAATGTATCACTACTAGTTACTATTCCTGTTTAAATGTAAAAATTAAAAAATAAAGAATGAAAAAAAAAAAAAAAGAGCCCAACTTCTGTTTGAATCTCCAACATAATGGTGAGCACGAGCTATACATATTGGCTAATCTTGTGGGGACAAAATACCATCTATTAATAACTTTTTGTACAATGTTTCAAGTAGATTCAAACAATGAATAATTTCAGCTGTTCTAGGTAATACTGCACACCAATTTTACTTGTTAATTTTTATATTTTTAGATAATGCTCAATTACTTCAAATCAGATGAACACAAACAATTAGAGGGTTTGGCGCACCAAAGGTTGTGGCAGGGTGCATGCTAATGGAGCCTCCCACTATGTCCCCCAACTCTAGGAAAAATATAAAAGCTGCAACACCAGACTGATAACAGGAGAGTTTATTCCACCTAAGTGGACCCAGCAACATTTCAACCTGTGAATTTCTTTATCAGGCCGTTGAAAGACCTTCCCAAATTGAAATGTTTCTGGGTCCAAGCTGGTGGAATAAACTTTCATGTTATCATTAATCTGGTGTTGTGGCTTTATTTTATTTTATTTTTTCAATCAGATTTGTCTCAGAGAAAGGGTTTTAAAACTGACTGAAGGGACAGCGCCAGAGTACTCTGCATACTAAAACCAATTAATGAGATCTAGATCTTGCACACACAAAAATCTAGCATTCTTTCTTATTTTCAGTAATGTCTGTACAGAGATCCAACACCGCTTTTAAGAATAGTTTGAAATAAACACTTTTAAGTATCCTAAACAGTGCCTTGGGTTTATCTACTTGGCGCTACATGGTGCAAGTTAACCATCTCAATCCCAACCAGATATGGTGACAGAACAGGGAGATGGATACACATACAAGTGTAATTGTGTCTATTTCACCCATAGCAACATGGGGAGAGGGAGGGGGGAATCCATGTGATGGCAATGTTAGTCTGCCATTGATTTGAAGCAAGTAAAAAATTTAAGCATGTTTCACCTGATGTCCTACCCATTCTGGTACGTTCTGATACATTCTTTGTAAATAAAAAGTTTGTGAATGTGTGTTGTGTTTTGGGAGTTTTGTTGATGGTTTTTCTTCTTTTTACTGTTCAATGATTTATCATAATAGCTTGACAGATAAACAGAGAGCAGTAGGTTCACATTCCTTGGGCAAAGTGCAGGAAAAGGTATTCTACCGTCTTTTGACTCCAAAGCTGCAGATCAGTATTCTTTTCGAAGGCTGTAGTCACATTTTATGCTTTCTTAATACACTACTAGAGCCTTTTGTATGTGCCATAAATCACATGTCTTTCCATCATGCAGTGTTTACTGGTATATAAGGTTTTACAGTATTAATAGTATAAACTTTCTATAATCAATTATGTAACCTATCAATAATTTGTTCAAACTTGTTTTGGTAAATACGGATTTTTTGTTATATTTATTTTATTACAGCTATTTAGAATTTTCTTAATGCAGCAGAAAGATAAAATCAGTACTCAACTAAATATTTCCAACACTTATATTGATTTTTCTGCAAAGAAAGGTCCATGCACTCCAAAGCTTAGCAGCTTGAAAAAGACCGAGTCGAAACGTTGCTGCTAAAATCACTGTCCATGTGGGAGCAATTCTGCATAATTTTCAGAGCCTGTGTAAGTGCCAGTTATCTCATGATATACTTACAGTTTTTAAAACCCATATTGCACAGTAGATAATGTCACTCATGCATGATTCTTCATAACCACAATTTGGCAGCATAATTCAATGCGAAGCACATTATTTCAGAGCTGCTGAATTTTAGGTATTTGGAAAATCGCAAACATCTATCCAGAACTCGATGGCAATGTTTTACGATGATACATGGGTTATGCATTGTAACTTCAATAAATTAGTGAGTACAGAGTAAGTAAATTAAATAATTTGCAGAGGAAGGTGGAGAAATGAAATTAAAAATAAAAAAGTGAATTTTTATTCTATTTCGAATGCTGTGGCATGCTCCTTTTTATTAATATATCTATGTTGGTACTCTTTCAATGCAAAGAGAAAAGGAAGGAAAAAAAAAAAGGATGCATTTTTATTCAAGAGGAAAGGGTGGAGGCTGGCAATGTATTCCATCCAGTTAATTTTACAGGCTTTTCATGTCACGGTTGTTAAGGAAATATATACTCTGTTGTGAACAGGTACAAACGTTCAGGATGTAGTGTAATAAAAACATGTATCATATCTTAAGGGAACAGTTACTGCTGCTGATAAAGTTAGCTTTGTGTCACCAGAAAAGCACCACAGTGATCTCCCAGCACAATGCCACGCCCAAGATAACTTAGGGAGACAATAAAAGCAGGAAGCAATCTCTTTAAAAGGAGTCCTGACAATACCACACACCATGCATATATTTCACTCCAATTAGTTTTTAAATCTATTAAATTTACATATATTGAGTTCAATACATACAAGTATCAGTTTAGAACACTGCATTTTTCGGGCAGCAGCTAAGATGGGTTTTTAACACTATAGGGTCAGGAATTAAGATTTGTGCTCCTGGCCCGAACGTATTCAAGCTTCATACATACGTATCCTAAGCTTCATTTTGTGTCCTTAGGCTGCGTTATTGATCGGTTCTCTAAAAAAAGAAATGTGTTATTGTTTGGAGAGTGTCTATCTGGGATGTCATCATGCATTCATATTCTCCTGTGAGTGTAACTTCACCTATAATGTCAGTTTCAAGTGGTACAAGTGTCTGTTTCCAGAGTCTGGCCAAGTGTGATGCACAAAACCAGGATGTGAAACAATTCTCTTTTGCTGCTTGGGGATATTCTATGGGATTATCAGGAAAAGGCATAATTCTATCGATGGTTCGATATTCACCCGATTACGCATTGCTCTAAGCCAAAAGGGTTATACCAACTTGCATTGCCATTAGATACATTATACCACAAGCCCTCCTGCATCTCAGCATGAGGAGAATTAGCCCCCTAAATGTGACAACCTTGCTGGTGCTAGGTACAACCTCTATAGAACCTTCCTACATATTTCGAGGAGAGATGTGCATGAAGTCTGTCACTTGCCATACCATGGCAAACAACAATCCCCCCCCCTTTTCTGTCATCAGCTACCCATATCCTTATGATAGTAGTTTGCGATTAGATTATCTATCTATACACATCCCATCTATGGATGTCTTTGTCAGGTCAAGGTACAGAAAAGCTTCAGAAGAATTTTAGTTTTAGGTAGAAAATTAAAGATAAATTAAATGTGTTAAATTAATCTGATATGCGGTGGAAGAGTTTAAAATGTTCCCTTACAAAATAACATGTACAAGTGTGTGATGCCAAGCTATTCCAGGGTCTGTTGGGAAAAGTAGATATTAAGTGGTCTAGCATCTGTATTGGAGCTGCTATTGATAAGGATATAGAACTTTGTACATTAATGTTTTATTTCATACCACAAGAGTTAAGGATGTTGTGGGGAGATACTATTGGAGTCCAGTATCTTTTCTTTGGGGATCCAAAATAGTTGGTGCAAAACCTGTTTAACAGACCAAAATGATTCAATGGTTACTCATTATGGAGATCTATAACTTGGGTGCATCACAACCACTTTTTCTAAGATGCTTCTTTGACAATAGGCTAAAGTTCAGCTTTGTTTTCCTGGCACTTTAATTTCTCGAAATCTTTTTTTTTTATCAACTTAATACCCAAAAAGTTATATAAGCAGTCCTCCAATCAAATTAAAACACTGCCTTCAGTTATTTCTTGAGTCAAGTTAAGCCCCATAGCTTGATTTCTGATCATGTTCAATTTAAACTAGATGTGCGGACTTTGTTTCAGTATCTCAGTCTATAGGTTTGGCAGTGACCGTAACGGTTGTGTAAGAGTTAGTAAATATGTGGTCTGCAAACAGGTTCATCTTATAGACTTATCTCCCAGTGTGATACCATGGATGTTAGGATCCGGATGTATTGATTGTGCCAAGGGTTCTACCGCTAGGAAATATGAGACATGGGGCATCCATGCCTGGTACCATTTGTTATCGTAAAGGGTTCTGACATGAACATACTGGAAGATAGCTTGTTGTATAGAAACCTCACTGGAAAGGCAAATTTACGTAGACCCTCAAGGAGGGTCCAATGTAGGTGACCAAATGCCTTTTAGGCATCCAAAAATAGTATAAATCTTTCCTGTTTCGGTCTAGTGTGTACATTACATTTAATACCTTCCTCGAACGTTCAGCTCCTCGTCTACCTCCCACGAAACCTACTTCATGGATGATCGTTGACAAAATGCCCCTAAGTGTTACCACATGGGCGTGCAATATTTCCACCTGCAATCCACCTTACGTAACAGATTCATCAAACATGTTGGCCAGGCGTGGCGCCAATATGTGGTTACATTTTTTAGTAATAAGTATTAAATAGCTCGTTCGTTAATTGTGCAACATATCTCTTGGGTTGCTTCCCATTCTGCATATATTGTGTGTTGATTAGCACTGAATTCCTGCTGTATTCTGTGTATCTCTCGTGCAACTTGGCAGTCTAGTTGATGGATTGATATTTTTGGGAGAGAGACGGATTCTAAATATTGAGATATCCCCTCAAGTGTCGTAATGAGTTTCTGTATCATTTTTAAAATGTATGAGTTGGCTATAACCATTTGTGAACACATTCCCAATTTCTCTTGGTTTGAAGAATTAAGTATGTAGGGAATTTTGAGTTGGGCATGACGGGATTTTAGTTTAGCTGCAAATAAATAAATAAATAAATAACAACTCTCTCCTGCTTGGTTTCCCTGCATGCATAGCATTTTTCGAGTTGACATCCGACCCGCTGGAGATTCATGGCATTAATGTTAACTGAGAGCTCTTTAATTTTAACTGTTTCCTTAGGATTCAGTGTTCCCTTATTACATCTTGTTAAGTCCTGAAATTGTTTCTTCCAGTCGATCAACTCTGACATACTTTCATTTGAGTGTAAAGACTTATTGAATGAGAAGGCCTTGTATACACAGATTACGAGCTGACCACACAGTTGAGGCGTCATGTTGTTGGGATGCATTGGTTTAAAAGTAGAGTTTTAGATCAGATTCAAATTTTTCCACAAAGGAAGGGTCTCCCACTTGAGATTAACTTAATCTCAATGGAGCCCCACCTCTGTAGTCAAAAGAATTCTTGATATTAAGTATTACCCTGGCATGATTAGACGATTCTGCTGAATCTATAAAAGAACAGTCTATGATCTGTTCTAGTGCAGTAACCGTTGTGAGGAAATCTTACTGCTTGAGTAAGAGTTGTGCCACGTAGAATAATAAGTAAATTCTCTTTCCTGTGGGTATGAAGTGCGACAGAAATCATACGTTTTCTGCCAACAAGTTATTAAGGGTTCTACACCTTGGTATAGGAGGTAATGTTGTGGTGTCTAACTGTGTGTCTAAGTTGTAATTAAAATCTCCCTCAATGAGAAACATGCCTGGTTTGATCGTATCGGTCTGAATTTTTCCAGAAAACCCCTTTAGGTTGGTGTTTGGGGCATATAAGTTGAACAAAGTGTATGGCTGTTCATTAAACGCAGATGTGATCACATATCTAGCATCCAGTCCTATTATAAACTTGTAGAGTGAAAGCTACAGGTCTGGTAATAAGGATAGATACTCCTTTTGATTTTGTTTTGGCTGTAGCATAAAATTGGTGGGGGTAAGAAGGGTCTGACTGTAGGAATCTTGGTTTTAGGGAAGTGGGTCTTCTGCAGATATAGGTCTAACCATTTGTCAGTTCGTAGCACAACCAGTTTAGTAGGAAAGTCCCATTAATAAGATATTTGGTGTTTTCTAAGTACTTCTGTTACTGGATGAAAGCTTTCCTTTTTTTTCCTCAGTGTAGTAGTGTATAGGTCTGCTAAAATTTGCACATCTTTAGTCGCTGGGGAGATCTTTATTGGAACGACCATGTGACAGGACTTTTTTTAATGTGATAGTAGCGCATGCGGAGTAGCACATCTCTGAGCAGGGCTTCAGATAGATACTTGGGTTTTGGCACTCTAGTCAGAAAAAAACAGCAGGCGGTATATCTGATGGTATAGTTAAGAACATGTTTCTTAGGCAGGCTTACATACAGGACTGCTAAACTCTCTCAGGTATTCCCTTGATGGCTCAAAAGGGAAGTATGAGGAGTGGCACCAGTCAACCGTTCCTCACAACGCCTAGGACTAGTGGCTGCCGGGATTCAGCATGATGTTTTATCCAGGCAGAAAACACTATTAACAGGCAAGGAGCTTATGAGACAGGTTGCAAATCAAATGCTGGTAATCTGTGGGGTGTCTGTCAGTCTGAGCGTGTTATTGGATTTGTGTGTCAGTGTGCTTTTAAATGGGTCAGTGAGTGCTGGTAAATGTATGCATCAGTGTGCTGCTAGATTCTGCATATGTGTTTTTAGTGCATCACAGCCACATCCAGCACACACACAAGCACAGTCAATACTAACCACATTCACATGCCACAGTTAGCACACAAGACACTACCAGTATTTACCACACATACATGACAGAGAATGTATACTGGCGACACAGAGAGCACACTCCAGTGACACAGGTGAAAAAGCAAGCACATATTATGAAAAAGGGGGAGAAAAGATAATCCTAAAGTTTGTCAATTTTGCAAAGTAAAAGAATTACACAATAATCAAGGCCTTACGTTCTTCAGGATGGGGTGCAGACAATATTCTGCTATGCTTCTTTTTCACTTCCTCTACATTTTCTGATATTTTAGTAATGCAATTGCGTATCTCTTCTACCTATGGGATAAAAGATTGAAGAAAGTTTTTTTTTAATTTTAACTATTAAAATTAAAAATGGATTTCACGTAAAACAGAGCAAATATTGTTGATTAGTGTTAGAATAGAAGAAGAAAAAAAGTGACAGAAAAAGCTTGAAATAACAAAAGAAAAAAAGATCAAAGTGGACTCCAGGTTGAGTAGGTATAAAATATATTAAAACCCAGAAGAAATAAAGAGCTTTATGAAACAAAGAATCTTTCTTATCATTGCTGCTTCCAGGTATCATCATCCAACAGTATGCAGTTATTGGCTGGCCTTACAGAAACCCATTTCAAATGCATTCCCAAGTATATCATCTGGAGCTAGATACATGAAATGCAAAAATGCTTCTGAGGTATGCATGTATTCCATGCTTTCCAATGTAAACTGGATATTTACTTATGAAACTAATGAAAATGCACCTGTTCTAGAAAAATGACTGACATTTTATCAAATAATTGTTACAGCCAAACTGCTAAAGATATGCTTTACACACTACACAGTATGCGTTATTACCAACAATACATAGTGCACAATCCCAGTGTGAAATGCTGTGCTTTGCTTTCTAAGACTAAGCTATGTGCAACTCACTCAACCAGGAAGCTGAATATTTACTTTGATAGGATGTATATATTCCTTTCAAGGTCTTTAATCCCTTAAGGATGAAGGCAATTGTCCAAATTCTGAACCAAAACAAAAGCTAGAATTTGAGATATGTTGGTTTACCCATAATTTACCTCGTTCATATTAAGTGTACCCATAGTTATGAATCATTTTGTTCAGGAGAAATTAGAGTTTCATTTTACATCAAATACGTGTATAAGGAACACAATTTAATATGAATAAAACCTTAAAAATAGGGAGAAATTAAAAAAGTGGGGTATTTTTCAAGTTAAGCTTGGCATTTTAACAGTGAATGTCATAATACTGTTGGCTTTTTCTGCCATAAAATATTTAGATGCTGTGATGTAGTAAGCCGCCTATAGCAGTTTCCCCCAATAAGAGAGAGAACTCAGTATTGAGGGTGAAATAGTCTGGTTTAATTGAGCACAAAGGCATTTCTTTTATACACATTTTCAGGCCAGAGGCACACCCCCTGGACCTGATGGTACACAGGGACAAAAGGGACACAAACCAATGGGAACAATAATTAACACAGTAACACTCCCACATACAGTCAGCAAGCCCTCCCCTCTGCCTGTGATTTAATTAAGCTAGCTAATGGAATAACTTAATTATCCACAGGCAGAAAATACCAATTTTTACCCAATGCCCAGAAATATATGAAAGCAGAAAAACATATTTCCTGTTCCAGCACTAAACTCAGAATACCAGAATGTTTGTTTATTTTGAGTACTTAAGGAAGGATTTTAAGGGAAATTCTAGGTTACAAAATATTTATTTTTAATGCATATGAACAATGCAGTTAAAACAAAAAATGCATGAGTGTTTTTCCAAGGCTTCCTTGTTAAAGGGTTACTCGAACTATCATAACCAGTGATTTAAAGTGGCCATGGTGGCAAGAGTCAGTATGTGGAGTATTTCAGCTTGAAACATTGCACACACAGAGATATTGGTAATGGTATAAAAGGGGTGGAGGGTGGGAAAGGAAGAATTTTAGTAGATATAGCCTAAAGAAGGCAAAGAGGAAATGAGACTACTATATTTAATTTTAAATAAAAGGTAATTTAGACAATTAACACATTGAAACCTATATCCATAAAGCATACATTAATATATTCATAAGCTGAAAAGTATGGAGTGAGAAATTCAAAAACATTAACAGACTTAAAAGTTTGAAACTTGGTGCTGCACAATTATTCCTTGATCTGTAAGATAAGTCCTTGTGGTTAAAATTGCAGATATATTTATCATTGCAATCCTGTGTATGTGGATATTACAGAATCCTTCCAATAGTAGTGAGCAGAGAAGCAATTTTACATGCAAACAACTAGGACTGCTATGGGGACAAAACTAGGACTCTGATATGCTAATCTGACTAAGGGATGGTGGGAAAGCCAATATGTTTAGAACAATCTGTTTTGTGATCAATTTTTGTTCTACAAAAGATTCACTGATGACATCATACTGGCATGGCAGGGAGGAGAAGAGGCACATCTACTTAAATTTATAGACCATACAAACTTCAATAATATGAAGTTACGATTCACCCATGAAGCCAGTAGAACAAACATCACCTTCCTGGATCTGAATATTTCCTGGATAAAGATGGAAATCTCCAAACTAAAAATCATCACAAGGAGGTTGATTGCAACTGTTTTTTAGATGCCAGAAGTGCACACCAACCAGGATGGATTCAAAACATCCCAAAAAGTCAATATATGAGGATCAAAATAAACTGTAGAAGACCCAAAGAATTAGAGCAAGAATTTCTAAATCTTACAACTCCGTTCGTACAAAAACATTAGGACTATCGACATCTGCAAAAAATGTTTTATGAAGTTCATAACACGAACAGAGAAGACTTACTTGACAAAAAAAGGACCAAAGGAAAAATACTCAAATAGGTCACTACCAATCTTTCTGATCACCTACAACTCTACAGCATCAAAAATAAAGAAGATCATGTGGAAATATTGGCCTATTATTTCCCAGAACAAAACCATGTGTATAAGAGATGGTGAAAAACCTAAAGTTGTATTCAGAAAGAACCGAACCATCAAAAACATAATAGGCCCAAGTATAACTATGAAGAAGAAAAAAAAAAAAGAACTAGTAACACATCTGGTAATCTGTTAATAAAAGGAGTATATAAAGGTCGGAAAAAATAAAATAAACTTATTAACTTGTCCAGTCATCAAACAAAGGGATAAAAAAAATATTTCATCCAATCACAAAGAAAATAAAAAGTATGAAATCCAATGATTTATCAATTGCAATATGCCATATGTAATTTACCTTTTAGAATGCCCATGAGGCAAACAGTATTTTGTTCAGACATGTAAAAAACTGAATACCAGAACGAATGAACATATACAAGCCATAAAGAAAAAAAAAACACCAATCATGGAGTTCCCAACATTTTTTGGAAAACCATAATGAAGACCCCACAGGGCTTAAGTATTAGATGAATTGAAACAGTCTATCAAAAAAGGGAGGGAGGGTGTGATAGATCAAGAACCTTAAAACAGAGAGAGTCCTATTGGATCTTCAAGCTAGACACACTATTTATTGGAGGGCTAAAGATTTAGATATAGCTGCCTTCTGAAAAACTGAATGAATCCACATGTAATTTTTCTTTTCTTTTTTTAATTTACGGGGGGGTTTTTTATATAAAATTTAATTTTTTTTGGTTTCTCCCCTCCCCTTCTTACTCTATAAAAATTCAGATTAATAGTAGTGTATCAGCTAAGTATTCCAATTCCCTTTTGAAAGTGCTAACTTTGCACTCAAATGTCACCATAAGGATTATACTCTAATATAACACTTTTAAATATGTACAGAGTATCATTTAGACCAGAGGTGTCAAACTTAAATTCATCGGGGGCCGCATCAGCAGTTTGGTCACCCTCAAAGGGCCGGTTGTATCTGTAGGACTATGTGTCCACTCTTTATTATCATAAATTAGCAGTGTGGGTTTATGGGGGGCAGTGTGTGTGTGTGTAGAGTGTGTGTGTGTGATATAAGGGTAGGGGGGCTTTTATATATTATATATATATAATTTTAATTAAAATATATATTTATGTCCCCCCTCCCTTCTTACCTTTACTGGGGGGAGGGGGTACATTTCCCTGGTGGTCCGGTGGGGGATTCATTGGTGGTCCCAGTGGGGAGAGTGAACTCTAGCCCACGCTCCAGGGCTAGAGTTCACTCTCGCAAGATTTGGAGCGTTGCCGTGGGAACCGCGGCAACTCCAACTCCCGCGAGAGGAGGACCCAGAGGAGCTGCAGCCTGAGCTCCGGGTCCTCTATCCCTCCCTCCCCCGCCGGCTGTCAGCACTGTGCCTGCGGACCGGGGAGGGAGATCTGTGATCTCCCCTCCGGTCCGCAGGCACATTGCTGGGCTGGCAGGAGAGGGAGACCGTCGGTATTCTCGGGGGGGGGCAATTGCCCCGTTGCCCCCCCCGGATCCGCCACTGGGCTGGCGGCCGGCGGCTACATGGGCCACATGACGAGGTCTGGCGGGCCGGATTCGGCCCGCGGGCCTTGTGTTTGACACCCGTGATTTAGACGTATCTCTAGAAAACATGCTATTTACATTTTTCAGTTTATATATGGGCAAAAAAATTAAATATACAGGATGGAGTAATAGACAATCACAGTCTGCTTAAACTAATAACACACAAAGAATGAAATGTTGCCATGTTTTTATTGAACACACCATGTAAACATTCACAGTGCAGGTGGAAAAGTATGTGAACCCTTGGATTTAATAACTGGTTGAACCTCCTTTGGCAGCAATAACTTCAACCAAACGTTTCCTGTAGTTGCAGATCAGACGTGCACAACGGTCAGGAGTAATTCTTGACCATTCCTCTTTACAGAACTGTTTCAGTTCATCAATATTCTTGTGACGTCTGTGTGAATCGCTTTCTTGAGGTCATTCCACAGCATCTCAATCGAGTTGAGGTCAGGACTCTGACTGGGCCACTTCAGAAGGCATATTTTCTTCTGTTTAAGTCATTCTGTTGATTTACTTCTATGCTTTAGGTCATTGTCCTGTTGCAACACCCCATCTTCTGTTGAGCTTCAGCTGGTAGACAGATGGCCTTAAGTTCTCCTGCAAAATGTCTTGAGAAACTTGGGAATTAATTTTTCCTTCGATGATAGCAATCCGTCCAGGCCCTGACGCAGCAAAGCAGCCCCAAACCATGATGCCCCCACCACCATACTTCACAGTTGGGATGAGGTTTTGATGTTGGTGTGCTGTGCCTTTTTTTCGCCACACATAGTGTTGTGTGTTTCTTCCAAACAACTCAACTTTGGTTTCATCTGTCCACAGAATATTTTGCCAGTACTGCTGTGGAATATCCAGGTGCTCTTGTGCAAACTGTAAACGTGCAGCAATGTTTTGTTTGGACAGCAGTGGCTTCCTCTGTGGAATCCTCCCATGAAATCCATTTTTGTTTAGTGTTTTACGCATTGTAGATTTGCTAAAAGGGATGTTAGCATTTGTGTTTTTTTTACACCTCCAATCTCATCGATTTCACTCCAGTTGGCTGACATGTCACTCCAATTAGCTCTTGTAGATGTCATTAGTCTAGGGGTTCACATACTTTTACCACCTGCACTGTGAATGTTTACATGGTGTGTTCAATAAAAACATGGCAACATTTCATTCTTTGTGTGTTATTAGTTTAAGCAGACTGTGATTGTCTATTGTTGTGACTTAGATGATCAGATCACATTTTATGACCAATTTGTGCAGAAATTCATATCATTCCAAAGGGTTCACATACTTTTTCTTGCAACTGTATACAGGATTGACATTAAAATATACACTTTTTTTAGCCAGATAAAGGAATTATCGTGCAGCACCAAGTTACATCTATCCTTGTAAATCTGTTAAAGTCTGGGTGAATTTCTCATCCCATACTTTTCAGCTTATTAATATATTATTGTATGCTTTATGGATATAGGTTTTCAATGTTTTAATTGTCAAATTTTAAATAAAAGATAATTCAAAATAGTGGTCTCATTTCTTTTTTGGGCTATTTCTACTAAATCAGAGGAGTATCAAAAGATATCTCCTACCAAAAGCAGCATCAGGATCTGACTCTCTCTCTCTCTCTCTCTCTCTTCCCACCACCCACCAATTTTTTTGTATAAGTTTCATACCATGTATTTTATGTATAAATGATAAAAAAAAAAAAAAAGTTTGCCTATATGTGCTATACATAGAATACAGTCAGTTTCCACTTAATTACATTTATAGTGCGATCCCCACAAACCATAAATAGTATAACTATTAGGGTTTATGTACGTATGAAAGTACAGTGAGGAAAAAAAAAAAAAAGTATTTGATCCCTTGCTGAATTTGAACGTTTGCTCACTATCAAAGAAATTAGCAGTCTATAATTTTAATAGTAGGTGTATTTTTACAGTGAGACAAAATAACAAAGAAAAAAATTCCAGAAAAACCAATGTCAGAAAAGTTATAAATTGATTTGCAGGTCAGTGAGTGAAATAAGTATTTGACCCCTTTGAGTTAGTACTTGGTGGCAAAACCCTTGTTGGCAATCACAGAGATCAGGCGTTTCTTGTAGTTGGCCTCCAGGTTTGCACATATCTCTTTGCAGATCCTCTCCAAGTCCATAAGCTTTCAAGTCCGACGTTTGGGAACTCGAACCTTCAGCTCCCTCCACAGATTTTCTTATGGGATTAGGTCTGGTGACTGGTCAGACCACTCCAGGACCTTAATGTGCTTCTTCTTGAGCCACTACTTTGTTTCCTTGGCTGTGTGATTTGGGTCATTGTAATGCTGTAATACCCATTAACCTGTTTTCAATGCCCTGGCTAAGGGAAGGAGATTCTCACCCAAGATTTAAAAGGTACCTGGCCCAATCCATAGTCCCTTTGATGTTGTGCAGTTGTCCTGTCCCCTTAGAAGAAAAACACCCCCAAAGCATAATGTTTCTACCTCCATTTTGACGGATGGGATGGTGCTCTTGGGGTCATAGGCAGCATTCCTCCTCCTTCAAACACAGAGTTGAGTTGATGCCAAAGAGATCGATTTTGGTTTCATCTGACAACAACACTTTCACCCAGCTCTCCTCTGAATCATTCAGATGTTCACTGGCAAACTTCAGACATGTGCTTTCTTAAGCAGGGGGATCTTGCAGGAGCTGCAGGATTTCAGTACTTCTTAGCATAGTGTGTTACCAATTGTTTTCTTGGTGACTATGCTCCCAGGTGCCTTGAGATCATTAACAAGATCCTCCCGTGTAGTTCTAGGCTGAGTGATCCTCACTGTTCTCATGATCATTGAAACTCCACAAGGTAAAATCTTGCATGGAGCACCAGACAGAGGGAGACTGACCGTTTTGTGTTTCTTCCATTTGCGAATAATCGCACCAACTGTCAAATTCTCACCAAGCTGCTTGGCGATGGTCTTGTAGCCAATTCCAGCCTTGTGTAGGTCTAAAATCTTGTCCCTGACATCCCTGGACAGCTCTTTGGTCTTGGCCATGGTGGAGAGAGTTTGGAATATGATTGATTGCTTCTGTGGACAGGTGTCTTTTATACAGGTAAAGAGCTGAGATTAGGAGCAAGAGAGTGCACCTAATCTCAGCTTGTTACCTGTATAAAAGACAACTGGGAGCCACAAATCTTGCTGATTGATAGGGGATCAAATACTTATTTCACCCTCTCTCTCGCTCTCTCTGGAAAACTAAAAAAGGGCAATAAAATAACTTTCAGAAACAATCCATGCTCTAATGAAAACATGTAAATTAACTAAAAAAAAAATAAATAAATAAAAATAAATAAATACCTTATGGAGTTCTGACATTTATTACAATCCTGATGCTCCCTAACAGAAAGCTGAAATGCAGAATACCATGCTGTGCATATCCTCAGAATAAAATAGTTATATAATAGTGCAGCTGTATTATTGCAAATAATGCAGCTGGAGAGTGTAAAACTATTTTAAGACAAGAAAGAGAACTGGCTTACCAGTTTTAACTGAGAGTGTTGTACTGCCCAGCAAGGGTAAATTAACTGCCCAGCAAAGACCAAATTGAAACCATGGAAGCCACAGCACAGATTCTCTAATCTTACTGAACATTTTAGATAAAGGACGCTAATTGCGGCTGAGCATACACATAGATACAACACAAACGGTTTCATCGAATGTTATGACAAAGTCCACTGTTCCACCCTCAAAAGAAATACACAGAGCACCGTAGCAACAACAATTAAATGTAGTGGTTATGAGGTCTACAATACACCTCTAAGTACAAACTAGGTAATACATACATTAAACAGAAACTTCAATGACAGAATTTTTTTATTTATTTTTTTTAAAAACACAATCTAGGCAAAAATAATGGGGGTCTAGCTACATTATATGATCATACATTGCGTAAGTCTGCCACAACGTTAATGTACCCCATTTTTGGCAGGTCCTACGCTAACAGCCTAATGTCTGCAAACCTCCTCCAAATACCCTGCAGTTTATCCTCCTCTACCAAAATTCAGTGTGCACTCTGGAACGCTCGCTCCATTTGTAGTAATATCAAATCTACAGCTATACATGACATCATCTCTAACTCACTCACAATACTGGCACTCACTGAGACCTGGCTGTCCCTATCCGATACCGCTACACCTGCTTCTTTATGTTTCGGTGGTCTACAGTTCTCCCATACTCCTAGACTCGATTGTAAAGGAGGTGGTGTAGGCATCCTTCTCTCCCTTCTATGTAACTTTCAACCTATCCTCCCTGCCCCTGCCCTATCTTTCACTTCCTTTGAAGAAGTTCACACGGTACGCCTTTTTAAGCCCACTCCTTTAAGAATTGCCATCATCTATCGCCCCCCCGTCACCCTAAACTATTTAACACTTTTCCTCCTGGTTATCCCACTTTCTTTCCTCTAGCACTCCCTCCCTCATACATGGGGACTTCAATATCCCTATCAACAAGCTCAACTGCCCTGATGCCTCTAGTCTGTTCTCTGTAACCTCCTCCTTTGGACTCACACAGATTTCTTCCTCAGCAACTCACACTGCAGGAAACACTCTTGACCTCATCTTCACCAATCTCTGATCTCTCCACTGTTCCATTTCCTTTGTCTGACCACCATCTGCTAACATTTAACATCTGCATACCCCATACCAAAATGTCACCACCATCAACTCCCCAACCTCGCAGAAACCTAAACTCCCTTGATCTCCAGCACTTCTCCACCAAACTCCAAACACTCCTTTTACCCATCTCAAATCTCAACTGCCCTAACTCTGCAACCTCACTCTACAACTCCACTCTCCTTTCAACTTGACATCATGGCACCTCCTACAGTTAAATGCAGCAAGCGCCCCCAATTACAACTCTGGCACACCAAGCTGACCCATTACCTCCAAAAATGTTCCAGAACTGCTGAACGCTGCTGGAGAAAGTCTCACTTTGCATCTGACTTTGTCCACTATAAAATGTATGCTGCGCTCCTACAGCATGGCTCTTTCCTCTGCAAAAGTAAACTACTTAAACACCCTCATAAGCACACTGTCCCATCAACCCAAACACCTGTTTCACACTTTTGATGCTCTTCTTCGCCCTGTGACTCCCCCTCCTTCCACCACAAACTTTGCATCTCATTTCACTGAGAAGATCTCTACAATCAGGAAAGAGATCTCTCCTACCCCTATCAATACATCACCCAACCCCACTCCCCCTACCATCCTATGCTCATTTGCACCTGCTACAGCACAAGAGGTTTCTGCTCCTGTCCTCCTGCCCCACCACCTGCTTCCGCGATCCTATTCCCTCACATCTCATCCGCACTTTGTCTCCCTCTCTTGCTCTTCCTCTCGCTAACATTTTCAAATCTCTCCCTTTCCTCTGGCACATTTCCCTCACCCTTCAAACATGCAACCGCAACCCTGATTCTGAAAAAAGCCCAACCTTGATCCCAACTCCCCATCCAACTACCGCCCTATCTCACTACTGCCATTTGCCTCCAAGATCCTCAAGAGAGTTGTGTACACCAGATTAACAGACTTTCTCGAATCCAACTCTCTGCTTCACCCCCTTCAGTCTGGATTCCGCGCTGGTCACTCTGTCAAAACTGCTGTGACCAAAGTATCCAACGATTTAATTGCTGCTAAATCTCGCGGCCAATACTCTATCCTAATCCTCCTTGATCTTTCTGCCGCCTTTGACACTGTTTATCATCAACAGCTTCTCAACATTCTCTGTGACGTTGATCTACGGGATACTGCTCTCTCCTGGTGCTCCTCCTACCTCTCCCAGCGCTCTTCCAGTGTTTCTTTCTCTGGCTCTGCCTCCTCTCCCCAACCCCTCTCTGTCGGCGTCCCCCAAGGTTCTGTCCTCGGCCCCCTACTGTTCTCTATCTATACTGCCACCCTTGGTAAACTCATCAGCTCCTTTGGCTTCCAATATCATTTATATGCAGATGACACGCAAATCTACCTGTCCTCCCCTGATCTCTCTCCGCCCACCTTGACTTGTGTTTCTGACTGCCTCTCTGCTATTTCCAACTGGATGGCTGCTCACTTCCTTAAACTCAACCTGTCCAAAACAGAACTTCTAGTTTGTCCTCCCTCAAGTGCTGCTACTCCTGTGTCTGTCTCCATCCAAGTCAACGGCGCTACTATCACCTCTACCTCGCAGGCTCGCTGCCTAGGGGTTCTTTTTGATTCTGACCTCTCTTTTACTCCTCATGTCCAATCAATAGCCAAATCCTGTCGCTTCCAACTCAAGAACACAGCGCGTCCGCCCATATCTAACGCCGGACGTGGCTAAGGTACTGGTTCATGCTGCTGTTCTCTCTCGCCTTGACTATTGCAATCCCCTTATCACCGGTCTTACATGTTCCCAGCTTGCACCGCTGCAATCTATAATGAATGCAGCTGCGAGGCTTATTTTCCTGTCCGGTCGCACGTCTCCTCGCTTTGTCAGTCCCTGCATTGGCTTCCAGTTAGATATAGGGCCCAATTCAAAATGCTGGCACTTGCTTACAAATCCATACATAATGCTGCTCCAACATACTTATACATACACATACACAAGTATGTCCAGTCGAAACCCCTGCGCTCAGCCCAAGACCTACGCCTATCCTCTGCCCGGATCCCCACCTCTGATGCTCGCCTTCAAGACTTCTCCAGGGCTGCACCTATTCTGTGGAACTCCCTTCCCTCCTCAATCAGACTTTCATCCAGCCTACACTCCTTCACTTCTTCATTAAAGCGTATCAATTAAACAGTCAGCAGGTTTCTCATCCCCCACCCCATGACTCCTTTCCTGCAACTGTCAAAAATGACCTACCAAGCACTCAATAAACCATTTCATTTCCCTACTTTAACCCTTTGTGTCACCATACCCCACTCCCTCTAGCATGCAAGCTCATCGAGCAGGGCCCTCAACCCCCTCTGTTCCTGTACGTCCAGTGGTCTGATCTCAATTATGTGTCTGTTAGTCCACCCATTGTACAACGCTTCGGAATTTGTCGGTGCTTTATAAATAATAAATAATAATAATAACCCACTTACTTGGGGGGGGATTCCATCTGGAGCTCTCTGCAGTACAAGGCTAAATAGGGCCCTGGAATGAGGAATTCATTCCCCTCCCAAGTAAGTGGGTTAATCTCATAAGAGCAGACATTAAGCTGACATGGTTAGAATCTGCCAAAGATGGGGTACACTGATGCTGCGGCAGGCTTATGCAATGTATGATCATATAATGTAATTAAACCCTCATTATTTTTGCATAGATGTGTTTTTTTAACACATAATTGCTGTTGCTGTTTTGTGGATAAGTGAGTGCACTGATCTTGTGTATTGTATAAATTGGACCCCAGCAGCAACCCCCCTGTTTATGCATTTACAGGTGAGTGCAGCCCTCTGGTTTCAGGTAATACATACATGTCATGAAAATATATATATATATATATATATATATATAAATAATCAGTTTTATAAAAAAAAATATTCCCCCCATAGTTGAGACTTCATTTTCTAAGCAGCAAGTATTCTTACCTAATGTAAGATAAAAGATATATTGACACAATGTATAAATGCCAAAAAAGAGATCCACACACCACTCTCTTAGTCCCAAATAGTGAGTGTATACAATACTTATAAATGAAAAGATGTACGCTGATGGTATTCCATGTACTGGAACCCTAGAATAACACAAAGCAGTACATAGCGTAGACTGTATATAATAATGATAATGTAGTAAAGAATAAATGAATCCACTCACGAATTCCAGAGCCGTACCAGGCTCTGTGTAAAGTGCCCCAGGGTGCCTATGCAGGCAAGATATGGAATCTTCACAAAATCCCTCAGAGGTAGGAGAAGCAGCAGAGTAATGTCAAAATAAATAAATTCAAAATAAATTATAGATTCAATTTAATGTAATGTCAAAATAAATAAATTCAAAATAAATGTATTTGTAATAAAAATATGTAAAAACAACTACATAGGTTGTATAAGAAGGTAATATATATTACCTTTTTATACAACCTATGTAGTTGTTTTTACATATTTTTATTACAAATAAATTTATTTTGAATTTATTTATTTTGACATTACTCTGCTGCTTCTCCTACCTCTGAGGGATTTTGTAAAGATTCCATATCTAGCCTGCATAGGCACCCTGGGGCACTTTACACAGAGCCTGGTACGGCTCTGGAATTCGTGAGTGGATTCATTTATTCTTTACTACATTATCATTATTATATACAGTCTACGCTATGTACTGCTTTGTGTTATTCTAGGGTTCCAGTACATGGAATACCATCAGCGTACATCTTTTTATTTATAAGTATTGTATACACTCACTATTTGGGACTAAGAGAGTGGTGTGTGGATCTCTTTTTTGGCATTTATACATTGAGTGTCAATATATCTTTTATCTTACATTGTGTACTTAAGGTGTTGGGGAACACTTTTTATCCCACCACTACTTGTGTGTTCCTTTCATTGTGTAAGCGCCATTCACTTTTCTATTTTTATTGCAAGTATTCTTACCTGAAGGAAAAAATCATCCATAAAAATCTCATTCTGCATAACAACCACAGTTTCTCCATAATCTTCATTTCCTTTTGCCTAAAATGAGAAACAATCAAAATGATTACATATTGATATATTCACAGCTCAAATGATGGGCCTTTTGTGGTATTGACTGCAGGTACAGAGCTTTGCAAATATAACTGGAAAACACATAGATGAATCAATTAAAGGGGAATTGTCACTTTGCAGGATTTTCAATATTTCTTTGACTAATATCTGTATTTAACAAATACATAATTGTGATGTGTGAAAAATAAAACTGAATCTATAAATTGCACCTCTTTATCCTTCAACTGGGCACTTGGCTCCCTGTTAATCATTGTTATAAGCTCTGTCCTTTGCACCTGGCAGGGAGCACAGAGAAAACATACAAAGAAGAGGAAAAGGGAAGGGAAGGAAAAAAAATAAATAAATAAGTTTCTCCTATTCATTTGTAATGCTTGTCCTAGCTTTGTCTTGTCTGACCAAGAACAAAAAAAAAAAAAAATTATATTATATATATATATACACACACATATATATATATATACACACACACTATTGTATCAACATTACAAATTAACAGGTCACTGATAATATTCAATACACATCTGAGTATGACATGGCACTGGAATAAACAAACATTTTAACTTCCAGAACAAAGACCACCACAAGAATTAAACTGGAGACGCCAGGCTTTTAAAGGGACACTAAAGTCACCAGAACAACTACAGCTTAATGTAGTTCTGGTGAGTATAATAGCTCCCTTCATGCATTTTCATGTAAACACTGCCTTTTCACAGAAAATGCAGTGTTTACATTGCCCCTAGGGACACCTTCAAGTGGCCACTCCTCAGATGGCCACTACACGGGCTTCCTGGCTCAGGGCTGCACAGTAAGCAGCCCTGCCGTTCAGTGTCCTCACACTGCATGGAGACGCAGATTTTTCCTCATAGAGATGCATTGCTTCAATGCATCTCTATGAGGAGGTGCCGATTGGCCAAAATGGAGTTTGGCCCCGCCTCTTGCAGATTTTAGCCAATCCAATGCTGGCTAGAAATCAGCAATTTTGATGTCACCAAGGGGGCGAGGCCACTGCCGGCAGACCCGTGGAGAGCTGAAAATAAGGTGAGTTTTAACCCATTCTGAGCAGCTAAGGCAGGGCGGGCAAGCCACCTAAATGGTGGGTTTTCACTAGAGTGTCAGGAATACATTTTTGTGTTCCTCACCCTACAGTGATCCTTTAAATTTCAATCTTTTAAAGTACCAATGTACTAAGAATCCATAGTCCATTCTAATGGGGGCCCTTTACAAAAGATAGACCAAACGACTACTGAAATTTTGAATGAGCTGTTGTCCTTTGGTAGCACACAACCCCTCACACTTCCATCTCAAATACCGAGCCTGTTTATTTCATCATAAAGGCTATAGTGATTTACTTGTGATCAGACAGACTAGGATATTATTGAACTTTGCACTACCACTAAAATAACCCACAAAATACAGACAGAATACCAAGCCGACAGCAAATGAAAGAAGTTGAACTCTGGCCATAGTGAACTTGTTATAAACTTGTTTGGTGATGATACAATTTTTTCAAATATATTGCTTTATAATACAGCAGGATCAAAATCTCCCTCGCTGCCGCCGGTGACCTGTTTCATCTCCACCAGCCGGGTAAATGAAAGAAGAGTAGGCACCTGCAATGTGGGTCGAGTAGGTGCCTACTCTGCTTTTACACTAAGCATGTACTCGCAGGGCCGCAAAGAGGTCCATTGTGGGCCGCATGTGGCGAGTTTGGCATGCTTGCCTTAAAGTGTTACTCCAGCCACCATGACAATTTCAGCACATTATAAATTAAAGGAAAGACTCACTCTACTATCCGTCCCGAAGCGAGCGCATGCGCTGTGAGCTGTCAAAACAGACTAATCCCAGATGTCTATTTGCTCTCTGCCCCTGTGAAATTGGAATGGGGTGTAGAAGTCAGCATCATGAGCTTTGCCCGCTGCTTAATTCCAGCTGAGTAAAACTAATTTATTTTGGAGGGGGACCTTCTACATTGTGCCCATGAGGACTTTTTACACTGGAAAAGTCTCAACAGCCTCCAAAATGATTGGGGTAATTTGTTAAATAAGCATATGCTTTCAAATTGGGACAGTGCTCTGAAAATTTGAATTTGTAAATCAATCCATGTAACTGCAACAAAACAATGTAAATCACTAAAACATATTGATCCCTACTAGCCTGCATTGTGCCTTTAGGACATTAGAATGCGCACAAGAAAGAAAGAAAAAAGTAAACCCATTCTTACTTAATGGAATGCATATCTGTAAGGCATGTCTAAATAGGTCATTGGGAACTATAGATGCGAGCTGTGTTTGTGCATGTTAAATCTCTTTCCTGCAATCAAGACTGAAACCATGACTGGAGGGAAAATACCTCTGGGTACAAAGTTTTAGATTAGTGATTGGACAATAAAGGTAGTGGGGGGGAGGGGGAGGAATCTCAAAGTTTTGTTTTTTTACATATTGAAAGCAGCAGTACAAACAGTGGATGGTTGCCCCTTGTTAAAGCTGAACAGGTAAAAAAAAACCACAATCTTGTGTCTCCTATATGAGGAAACTAGAAACCAAAATTCCCAGGAAGCCACAGGGGCACATAAACAGGGAGGGAAATTGTACTACTATTCACTGTAATAGGGTTGTTCAGGAGGAATGCTAGAAATTCAAAGTGAATTTGAAATTTAAAGAAAAAAAAAAAAAGTAAAACAGGAAAACTTATTGAAGAGAGCAATGGTTCCAGCTACTTTGGCTTTACATGTAAAATGTACTTTGAATGCCCAATAATTCACCGCTCAGTGAATAATCCTGTAAGCAAAAAACGTTTTTCTGGGCGTGAAGCAGTAATAAAAATTCAAATTAATACAATACGAAAAAAACTAAAAAACTTCCAGCTGAAATAACGGCAAGAATGTCCAACCTGTAATGTTTACTGAACGAGTAAAAAAGAAGACCAAGTTGCAGTTTTCAAATTTCTTCTGTAGATGGTTAAATAGAAGCTGCCCACTAAGTCAGAGCTTTCCAAACTTATCAGACATGCATTATTTTGGTCGAGACAGTGTTCTATTTCTTCACTTCAGTTGAGGCCACGTCCCCAGAATCAATGTGGACTCAATGGTTTTGATCCGATACCGCAAGCGCAGCATACAGGTATGATCTGTATGTCTCCAACAATATAGTAGTATAACATACTCAACCCAAGTTGGCTCTGCTCACATTATTTACTATGGCTGGCTATGTGCCACCCACCCCCTCTGTGTGTGTGTGTGTGTGTGTGTGTGTGTCTGTGTGCCACACGCCCCCTCTTTACGTATTTGTGTGCACCACTGCCACCTCCTCGTACCCACCAGACCCCCTGTGCCCCAACCTTCTGTGCTCTTCTGCCCACATAAATATTGAAAATTGTAAAGCATAATAAAAAGGCAAAGGCAGCTACAGTGACTAGAGCTTGAATTATATATTTATACCCTTCCTTGGTACATAATGTGTTAAACAAAAAACAAAAACAACCTTTAAACACTTACTGGATTTACGCACGCACCACCTCGTTCGATGGAGGGGGGAGGACTTAATACACATGTGCGAAGAGCAAGCATTGGGCCTTTGAGTCAAACTCCAGGAAACACATCTAGTGGCTGCTGGTAGACTAGTCCCAAAAACTGCAATGTTTTACATTGCAGGAATAAGTGGGACAGGGACACTGTACCCAGACCACTTCAATGAGATGAAGTGGTTTGGGTGCCTATAGTGTCCCTTTAAGCATGGAGGCAATTGTCCAAGTTCAAAAAACAAAATGTTGAATCTGAGACAAGTCTGTTCAGTCATAATTTACCTTTTATATAATGTGCGCCCACATTTAAATTTATATACACACACACACACACACACTTTTTTTTCGGTTTTATTTTCAGGGAAATATGGCATTCGTTTCACAATAAATATTTATATATGAAACAATTTAATATGAATAAAATCTAAAGAAGTGTGAGAAATTAAGAAATTTTATTTTCCAAGCTCTGCATTGCATTTTTAAACTGTGAATGTCATAGGTTAGATTTTACTGCAATAAAAACACACGTGTGTGGACATTAAACACGAGACGTGTGAGGTGGTGAGGGGTTGTTTGTCACACTGAGGTGCAATTCCTATTTTTGTATTATGGATTCATCGTAAAGCACATTTCATACCGATTTGGACCACGCAACTTTGCTGTAAATAGAGGAGTCTTCTTTGAGAAATATTGGCAGACCGGTCCCCCAATTCACAATTAATAAAACAATTATATATAATTACACTCAATGTATGAGGGGCATCGCCAGTCGCGCAGCAAGCGTAAATAGAGATGTCCATAATGGGCAAGAAAACACTGACAGGCTGCGTGGCCAGTCCCCAGGACCATGCAGGTCGCTCTGCTGAAGCACGTGAGGCATGGTCCTAATGCCAACTTCACAGCAAAAGTGCATTTAATGATGTGCTGCCTGGATAATTATGAACTTCAGTGGTGTCCACAGATGCGTAAATCCAGGGAACCAATGCGGGACAGGATCCAGAAATTGCGACTGTTAGGAAACCTGCATAAGTTGAAGGGAGGTGGGGGGGAGGGAATTACACATATCCTTTAATATTTTGGGTTAAGCTTTTCAAATTACTTCATTTTGAAAGATATTTTGATATGGATACATTTTTATTTTATTTATTTTTTTTAAATACAGAATAAATTGATACTTAAAAAAAATAAATAAATAAATAAAAAAAAAAACAAACACTCCTATCCAAGGACTGTACATTGTAAGTGTAGTTTCAGTATTTAAAATGATTTAGTATTTATTAATTATTTTTTTTAATACATTGCTTCACATGGAGTTTTTTTTATCATAATTGCTGGCACATTAGCATATTTCTTTGTATTAATAAGATTGTTTCATACAAGTTTCATATAACGCACTACTGCTAGAGTTTATCAACTATGCATTAACACATGGGTCGTCAACCTGGTCTCTACCGCCCACTTGTGGGCGTTTCAAGATTCCAGGTGGGTGGTAGGATTTTCTAATTTTGAGAGATTGGGTGGGTGGGCGCGAGCCGGCGGTACCCCTGCGACTGGGTACCGCCATCACCACTTGCCACCCGATGGATGTGGTTTGTGAGGGGGCCTGGTCAGCGCTGGGCGCTTTAACAGCGCAACCGGGCCCCCTGTGATTACATCACACGCTGGGAGGAAGTGACTGCACATCACTCCTCCCAGCTAACACACAGACCACGCGGGAGGAAGACCAGGGAGTCAGAGTGGGAACTCTGACTCCCATCCGCCTGAGCCATCACTGGACCCCAGGGAAAGTCACCCTCCTGCACCTAAAAAGTAGGAAACAGGAGGGTGACTAAAATATTGTGTGTGTGTGTATGTGTGTGTATATATATATATATATATATATGCGCGTGCCTGTCTGTATGTATGTATGTATGTATGTATGTACGTGCGTGCCTGCGTGCCTGCCTGTCTGTTGCAGTGGGCTCTAGAAAGTGGGATACCTAGTTCAGCCTTCCTACTGGGCATTGCTATAAGGAAGGTTAAAAAATTTAAAAAAAATTAAAAAAAAGGCAGGGAGGGGAATTGAGGAGGGAGGGGAGGGGAGAAATCATATGTGCAAGCAGAGAAGTCGTCTGAATATCACTGAAAGAGGAGACCTTCATTTGTTCTTTCCGAAAATTGAACCAGATATCAAATATTTAGTCTCGCAGCATCTCAAGGATCTCATTAATCACTAGTAAAGGTAATTTCAATTTACTTTATGGGTTTCTCATTAAACTTTATAAAGTTAAAAACATTATAAACATGCATTAAGTAGAAATAAAAAGATAAAATGTACGTACATTTCTTTTAAAACACCCTCCTTTCGAAAAAATATTCTGCTATTGCGCGAAAACTGGTAAGGACATTTTTTTCAACCATAAAGATGCATGTTTGGGCGGTAGGTAGAAAAAGGTTGACTACCACTGCATTAACAGGACAAAAAACACAGTCTGTGGAACCAACAGTAGTCTCCTTTGGGTGCCAGGGGGTTTCTTGTTACCAAGTCAACCATTATTTGCACGGTGCATTTTTAGTCTCAGTAATAGAAACTTTTCTTCACTGAAGGGAAATTTACTCCACATGCTGGAGATAAGGCCAAGGTGAAATGTAACTCTGCCATACCATTCCATAACAGTAATGAGTGGCACGGATGAGCTCAAAACTGTCAGCTGACACGTTCAGTCTATCACTGCTTGGGATAATGGAAGTATAAGCCTAAAATACGTTGAGGTATTGGACTTTGGGATGCCAGGGACTCTCATTAGTGTTAAAAAAATATTCAAAAAAAGGTTCAACATTGATCAGTGGAATGGCACTAGGATGCTCCATCACACTGAACTGGTTATGGTGCTTAGAATGTCTCTTTAAAAGTATAAACGCAAGGTAAGTGCACTTAATTGGTTTTGGTTTTGTATTCATGCAGTATTCTCTTTACTCCTTTTTCTACATCATAACCCTATCCCCTTAACCATGTCTGCTTTGTTCACAAAACATCTTCCCGATTAGAAAGTATGCTAGGCAGCTCACCCAATGAGACACAAATATGAATAGAGAAGCTAAATTGGCTCTGCCCCACTGTGCTTTTATCTCTATAGTACTTCCAAGTATAAGTATAAAGAATTTCTTTTTAAAAGGGCAGTCTAAATAAAATTACCCAGACAGCGCTAAATACCAGTTGAGCGGTAACTCTCTAAAAGTTGAAAACATTAACATGGAGTTTAGTTATGTAGTATGGGGCTGTATATTCATGCAGTATTTACCTTTTTGGTAAACTAATTCACTTAATTCAAGCTAAGATAATATGCACTTTTTCACAGTAAAAATGGTATAAAATGATCAAAGTTCAGGAAAAGACCTTAATCCCATTGTTGTTACGCAAATCTATTTACAAACCACAAATTACCTTAAATGCAAGTTTTAAAGATTGTTTGAAGCGAAATACCACTGTACCAGGTTCAAAGGATGAGGATGGAGGGGCAGCTGTAAAAATTAAAGTGAAACCTTCTGAGCAGCTTACCAACCATGGGATCTTTGTGCACATAGCTTGAAGTCCTTTGTTCACTCCCTTGAGGAGTAAAATGGCAGCAGGTCACAAAAAAAAAAAAAGACCCGGTTTTGGAATATTTTAATGAAGTTCATCTACCTATGGGTGAAGCAGGTATGCATGCAAAACTCAAGCAAAGCAACAAAGATATGCAAGGCCTCGTGGCCCGAATAAATCACAAGAAGTGCTGCGATGAAAGGAATATGTTTGAAAAGACAAAACCTTTGTGTTGGTAAACTTTTAATTTCATCATTTTTTTATGATTTTTTTTTTAAGACAGTCATGAGGTATTGTTATACTTGAGCATAAGCGCGCTTAAATTGGATACTTAATATTTGTATCTCAGATGACTAAGTGGCTGACACTCCCACGAACATAGGACCATGGGGTCTTGAGAAAGTGCTGCTCACATGAAACGTGTCAGCTTATGGATTGTCAGCCACACAGTGGGAGCATTGGTTATATTATGTGTAGAAAGTTTTAACTTAATTTTTTTATGATAAAAGAATGACATTTTTAATCACTAAGCAGTAAAGAGTTTTAGTCTACAGTGGCATTTTCAGTGATATCATGCCCTCTCTTGATACTTAAGACCTGGGACTGTATACGCAAGTTTAGTTGTGTTTATCTTGCCCTTGGGCAAAATGTTTGATACTCTTGGTATAACTCTTTATACTGATCTTGAGATTGTATAATGAAATGCACTTTCTTCAACTGTAATATATTCCTTCTCCTTGACGCAGTGCCAACACTCAGTGACTCAGAGTTTAAGCTGGTAATACTGGCGCTACACTCTGACTTTCTAGAGAGCTGGAATGCAAGAACGGGATTACGGAGGTTTGCACTTTCTGTAAGTGCAGACCTCACAACCCTTACACCAATACCCCACATGGCAACCCTGTTGCCTGCCCATGGCAGAGCTATAATAAAAATTAAAACATTTCTCTACAAAAATCCCAAATATTGTGGGCCTCACATGGAAATGCATGACTTTGGCATCAGGGCACAAATTCCACATACCAGTATTTGTTTCTGCTGGTGTAAAAAGTAAAATATAACTAAATAGGAGAATACAGAACATAAAAATAAAAAAATAAACCACTTAGCTGACAGTCTGGAAATACAAACAAATCCTGTAAACACGATTAATTATTAATCATGGTAAACTACTATACATTAATAATATTACCCTTTTTTTTAAAAGCAGCTTTGCAAACATTTATGAGAAACAGGCCAAGCTCTGAAAAATTGTATTTTCTTCTGCAGATTTATCTATAGTACAATTACATGATATTCGGTAAGTGTATTACACACATAAAATATTATCATCACATGAATAAGCAGAGTTGAAAAGTTTCTCTAGAGAATCCAGTACCTCCCAGAGATGAATCCTACAGGATGTGTCTAGCAGTGAAACATGATCGATTTATTACTTTCCCTTCCCCCACAATGGAGAAGCAGAAAGAAACAAAGCTCTGTCTCTTGCACACAAGTATCTTTTCTTACAGAACACTTACACAAAATAAACAAGCTAACGGAAAGCAAGTAATATGAATTAAAGGAATACTCCATCTTACTGAAGTGTTTTAGGGTTAAACTGACTGCCACTACAGGGTTATTCTTTAAAAGTGTCAATAGAAAATAATAGAAAAGAAAAGAATAACAAAAACACATTTGTCACACCTTCCCAGATAGTCAGCAGGGAGCGTTTCCCACTTCACTCACTGTGAACTATAGTTTAAATCAGAAGTGAGGGGCTGTGCCAATCACGGCTCTTGCCATTTATACATGTCTGTGTGAGCTGTATGATTGGCTAGTCACACAAATACGCTATTTGTCAGGGCTTCTTAAAGGGAAATCTATCATTGGATAGTGTCTAACACAGACAAAAATAAAAAGTCATGTTGAACAAATGGAAGAGGGCATAGACTACTTTGTATGCGCTCTACCCCCTGCCCATAGGAAAATCATGCCAAAAAAATATATATATATTTTTTTTTAAACATAAGATATTAACCGATTAAGGACCAATGACAAAGTTACTCTATTATGGCAGCCGATTCCAAGAGAACCCATGACGGCATAATTACATCATGTACTAAATTTAAGCCAAATCGCGGGATTAATGCGGTTGCTGGGTGCCTCAATGTCCGAGGCAGATCAACAACAGGAAATAGCAATGTCACACACCAATCACGGTTTGCTGAGATGATATCTGATGTACCAACCTCCAACTGTGTGAACTGATGAGAGACACAGATTGGAGATACATGGTGTGCAGCTAGTGATAAAATTGTACCAGTTAAATTACAAACTAATTTTAGCCCTGTGAAACAATCTTTAACCCTTTCCCTGCTCTATGATCAGTTGCTACAGTGATCAGAATTCAGATCACATTACTTTACTGTGATCTGCTTTTGTGTTTGTTTTACACTTAGGGGTTACATTTATTTTATTAATTTGGTGATTTAGTTAGCTGGGGTCGGTTGAAGTTAGTGGGAAATTTTGTGTTTGATTAGTTAGAAAAAAGATGTTAAAAAACAAGAATAAGTTTGAAGCTTGTTCAGTTGTAGTTAAAGTTCAATCTAAAAATGCTTAGAACCACTGATTCAGAGGCGATTGAATGACAGCGAATATGTGCCTGAGCAAGAAGCATGTGCTGATTCCCCTGACGCTGCCCAAAACACAGATGACTGGATAGTCACACCGCCAATCATTTTGGCATCCCTATCTTTACTGCACCTCCAGGCATACAGTCTGACGTGTCCAGCTAGTTTGTGCAGTTGTTCCTGGGGGATAATTTAGGGAAGATCGCGACACAAACCAAACTATGCTGTGCAAGAAAACAACAAATTAGCTAATATAGCTTAAAAACAGCAACATGAGCTAAAAAAGTGGGATAGCACATATTATATAGAGAATACAAAAATACAACCGGTATAACAGGACGTGATCTCAAGTAATCTAGAGGATAATAAAAAATATATAGTGAAGTATGTAAAGAAAGGGACAATAGCATCCAGGAGGTAGAGAACTTACAAGAAGTATAGATGGTCCGTGCTTATCTCCCCTTGGGGGTATCTGTATGCAGCAACAGAATTTTCCTTATGTCTGAGAACCTCAGAAGTATAAAAAGGAAATATACATAGAGTAGTACTGTTAAAAAGTACATACATTTATTACACTGATTGCACTTACATTCAGGTTGCAATCTGCAGGCATATATCCACTAACAAGTGGAACAAGATGATAAATGGATCTATGCAGAAGATGGAACAACAGCTGATTGCCAAACACTGATAAAAAATAATACAATCATTAAATCAAAAGATATAAAAATAAAATATAATGATGAAAATCTATCCAAATACTCAGTCCAACGCGTTTCGTCAGTGTTGACTTCTTCAGGGATGCGAGTATAATCCAGGATCGTTCCTTTATATATCCTTCAATACAAGTATTCTTCATTAATCAAATTTTCCCGCGATGTTGAGTCCTTCCGGGGTCTGACGTCAGATGTTCTTTATTGGGTGAATCTATACAGACGTAAGGTAACACATGACCGTCCCTGCCCCTTCCGCGTTCCAAGGTGAAACGCACAGCGGCACTTCCGCATAATACACATTACAGTGCTCCATATGCTGTGCAGTATCTTGCCCAAAACCCGGTGTCATTTACTGCCATGAAAGTGGGATGGTACCCCATCAGTGTTCCTGTCTTAAAATAAATTCTGGGCACTCACAATGTTAATGGAGATCATAAAGAAGCCTATAATTCGCTTTTATTGGACCCAGAATCTTATAGAGCACAGACTTGATTTTTTTTCACAAGCTATGAAGAAACACACATGACATTAATGCAATTTTTGCATTTTAACAAGAACAACAACTGCCACAACAAGTAATCTTGCAGTATGTCAAATTGATTAAAATCCACTCCCTAATTCTGTACTTAAATCAGAAGTTTGAAAGCATGTATGTCCCCAATAAACATCTGTACAAAAGAGTCCCTAATGAAGTTTAAGGATAGATTGGGATTTAAGCAGTGTAAAGCTGTATAAACATTTCACAAGTGATAGTGGGTGTGTGTGTCTCTCTCATATATTTGAGCAAAATGAAAGCCACCGAGATACCCTAGGTTGGCAAGAAATTATAGGGACAAGTAGGAAAATTGTATGGACTTTATGAACCACTTATTAAAAAAGGGGTATCACATGTACATAGTTAATTGTTATAGTATCCCACTATTAAAAATGCTCCACAGTTTCGAAACTGTGGCACAATAAGGAAAACATCAGCTGCTCTCCGCCAAGAACTTCTGGCAGTTAAGTATAAGGACAAGAAGGAAGTGTACATGCTGACCACCATCCATGATCAGCCTGGTTTTGGGGAAACCAAGCAAATTACAGTCTGCATTAAACAATATAACAGGCACATGGGAGTGTGGACCTAGCAGATCAGTTAATGCAGCCATACCTGATCATGAGTAAAACACAGGCGTGGTATAAATTAAAAAAAAATTATATATATATATATATATATATATATATATATATATATATATATATATATATATATATATATATATTTTCCAAGGGTATGGCTGCACTCACGTTTTAAAAGTCCAAAGTTTAATTAAAAAAAACAATTAAAATATCAAGTGATCAACATTTCAGTCGCACAAGACTTTCATCAGGAAAATTTAACATCCATTTAAACATTTTTTTTTAATTTTTTTATTTGTTTGTTTTAGTTGCTTAGTAAAAGGAACACTATAGTGTAAGGAGTAAAAACTCAGCCTCCATGGCGGAGATTACCAAGAATGACAAGCTCAGCTAATCCAATGCTTTCCTATGGATAAGCAGTGGGAGGATATTGCACATGCGCAGCAAATACCCCGCTGCATCAATCAGAATCTCCTCATAGAGATGCAATAACTGCAATTTTAATCACCGCAAATTCCTTTATATGGTGGCAGCACAATAGTGATGTACTCTTCCCATGGGACAAGCATCTGAAATTAAAAATTAACAAAGGTTCCTCCCTCAACAGGTATAAGACACCAACCTGCCACGGATCCTCAGTACGTCCCAATAAAACATCAAAGAAATACTACTGCAAAAATATAAAAAGGGAGGGAGTGATGTACTGCCAACATGCTATGCCGGGTCCCCAAGGATGGCATAGCACGTCCGCCGTCCTTAAGGGGTTAAGATGTTAGGCCATTTATTGGGGGCGGAGGGTTTTTATTTTATTTATTTACACAGACTGCTCACTGTTTACGAGATAGCAAGTAGAGGCAGAAGAATTACGAATACCAAATAATTTTCACTTCATATTAGTAAAGTTGACCGAAATACCAATCTTGACAGAAAGTAGGCATCGCGAGAACACAGAGGAATAGGTGAGACTTGTGGGAAAAATGCTCTGACCACAGGAAACGGAGCATGCTTTGTTCCCCTGCTCGTAAAGCGTAGGAAAACTCCATAAGAAAACTAGAGCAGACACTAAAGAAAACTAGAGCAGACAGTAAGAAATGATGAACAGATCATGACGGAGGGAGAAGAGGAAGCGATTAAAGAAAGGCAAGTTCGGCATGATCGTGCTGCTGTAAGGTGTGAAAGGCGGCTTCAAAGTTCACTTTACACTTTAAAAAGGGACACTATAGGATCCCAGACCACTTCATCTCATTAAAGCGGTTTGGGTGCTCTGTCTATGTCCCCTTAACCCTGCAATGCTAATTATTGCAGTTTCTAAGAAAGCGCAATAATTACATTGCAGGGTTAACACTGCCTATAGTGGCTGTCAGACAACCTCTAAAGGCACTTCCTGCTTGCTCGGCGACTTTTAATCACCTGATGCTGGATGTCCTCATGCTCTGCAAGAGAACATCCCGCAACAGTCAAATCCCCATAGGAAAACATTGCAGCAATGCATTCCTATGGGATGGGCTTAATGTGCTTGTGGTGCACGCAAATTAGCGCCCCTGTCGGGAGACGGAGGTGGCGGAACATCAGCACTGGAATCGGGCAAATACAGTAAGTGTATTTGACACTTATTCTACCGGGTAGCAGAGGGGGGGGCAAGGGGATGTGTAGTGCTAGGAATACAGATTTGTTTCAAAGTCAAAGACAGATTACGGAAAAAGACAGCTTTAAAACAAAGAGATTACGGAAAAGATGCAACTTTTGCTCAGAGACAAGATTGATGATTAAGTATGGCCCACAGCAAATTATTTTAAAAAGGAGGAAAAAAAAAAAATGTAAAAAGCTGATCATAGAGCCCCTGAGATATTCCAAGGACATGCATTCCAATGAAACAGTGCATATGGTGTTCCTATCAATACAAGTAACAGAAAGAAAGAGTGATGAAAAAAGAAATTAAAGGAAAAAAAAAAAAGCCACCAATAAGTACAGCTCCACAACAATTGCAAAATGCCTCCTGTTGGCACTTTTCTCGAAGGTGTTTTAGCTTACTGAGTAGTGTGCAAAGAGCCCCATGGTTCGGTATGGGAAAGACCTATGTGGAGACATTTTTTTTTTTTTTTTTTTTTTAATATATATATATATACACACACACACACACACACACACTCCATTACAATATAAATAACACTCCTGACAGTATAATGCAATGATCATATTAAATATATATATGAAATAGGAAGGAAAAGATTAGAAAAGGATGGAAAATATGTAATGAGTTATAAGTAACTGGAGAAAGACAGGAGATAATTATCTACATGAGGTATTTTGCAAACCCGCACCCCATGACATTATAATGTGCATTAAAATAAATTGGACACAGAAATAATTCACTACTAAACAAACAAATAAATAAGAGATCAGTTTCTACAGACACACCGTGTATGGGAGTATTGGAGTTAATACAGTATCACCCAGGGGGTCAGTCACACCCAATAAACATCTCACACACACACACACACACACACACACAGGCCCTGCAGCCAGCCAGCCCGCCGGCACACATGGAGTTAATGGGAGCGAAACCTCAGGAACCGTTAACTTGTTTGATTAAGAAGGAGATGAAACTTACCGCTGACAGCTCAGTCAGACGGTCCTTCATGCCCGCAAGAAACGTAGCTCTCCCCCCGTCTCACAGAACGGGTATCTCTCAATATGTCCACTGTCGGCCCCCGTCTCCGTCCCTCCGCCCGGTGCCACGGCAACCACCGTTGTGAGGAGAAGGAGATGGGATGAGACCGTTGTACAGGCACGCGCTGTCACTCAGGCCCCGCCTCCTGCTTAAGCAAAATGAAATGTAGTAGGCGTGGGCACGCCGAGCTGAATTGGGAAACGTAAGAATTCGAGTGGGCGTTGACTTTGCGTTTCAAGCCTCGTTTTAGAGTTACCTGCCCCTTGCTGTAATGATTTGGGTAGGGTTTTTTTTAACCAAGCATGTATTAGTGAATATAGAGCAGCTTGTTTGTATGTGCAGGTATAATTCACAATCTGCGAGAAAAAAAAAACACGAATTTATTATTTAAGAAAAGATGAACTACCAGTAACAGAAGGACAAGCTAAGCGTGAGCACTAACTATGTTAATTTTAGGACCTGGAGGATCTCCAGGAAGATACAAGTCAACAGCCCAGCACAGTATAAGTGATAGGTTTATTACTGGACCTTAGAGTGGCCAGGCTTAAAGGGACACAGTAGTCTTAGGAACACATATCTGAATTCCTAACGTTACAGTATCGATGCCCCTACTTAATTGTAGTGCTCCCACCCAGCCTGCTAATTAAAGTGACATTATAGTCACCAAAACAACTTTAGCGTAATTACAATGTTGTGGTGTATAGCTCATGCCTCTATAGTCTCACTGGTCAATTCACCGTCATTTAGGAGTTAAATCACTTTGTTTCTGTCTATGCAGCCCTAGCCACACCTCCCCTGGCTGTGAAAAAAAAAATGGTTTCACTTTCAATTGGATGTAACTTACTTGAAAAGTTTTATCTCCTGCTGTGTAAACTGAACTTTAATCGCATACAAGAGGCTCTTACATGGTATAGCAAGCTATTAATATAGCAGGAGATATGAAATTATACATGAAACATAATTTGCAATTATAGAAGTGTAAACTTTAGATGACTCTTTACAGCAAGCATGTCAAACTCACGGGCCGCATGCGGCCCACAAGGACCATTTTTTAGCGGCCCAGCGAGCCGCGAGTGCATGCTTGGTGTTAAAGCAGAGTAGGCACATACTTTCCCCACATTGCAGGTGCCTACTCTGCTAACACTTGGCCAGGGAGGAGGGCCAGCGAGGGAGATTAGTGTTCATGCTCCTCACTGCTCCCTCGCCCGCACCGCCTGTAGTGAAACCGGGCGCCGGAAAAATGACATCATATTCCGGTACCACTAAATAGCGCAAGGGAGCAGTGAGGAGCAGGAAGGACCCCTGGGAGATGCCCAACATCGGCTCCATAAGGTAAGGAGCAATAAATAAAATGTGTGTGTGTCTGTCAGTGAGTGTGTGTGTGTTTGTCTGTGTGTCTGTCAGTGAGTATGTGAGTGTGTCTGTATGTATGTGTCTGTCAGTATGTGTGTGTGTGTAAGCAGGAGGATCAGATTTGGCACAGGGTGGTAGAGGGGGGTGCTGTGCTTTAGTAGAGGGGGGTGCTGTGGCTTAGTAGAGTTGATGCTGGGGGGGGGTTATACTGTACTTTTTAAAATAAACCTACATTTCTATGAAAATTTACGGTATTTTTTTTTTTTTTTGCGGCCCATATAAACTTAAACCTTGAGTTTGACATGCTTGCTTTACAGGCAGTGTTTAGGAAGGATGTGTAAATCACATGTAGGGAGGTGTGAATAGAGATTTACGAACAAAGGGATTTAAGGGAATTCCTAAAGGGCAGAGAATTGAGCAGTAAGACTGCTAAGGCATGATCTATACACCAAAACCATTTCTTAAAGCTAAAGTTGTTTTGGTGACTATAGTGTCCCTTTAACTGCTTAAGAACAGAGGCAATTGTCCAAGTTCTAAACCAAAACAAAACTTGGAATTTGAGCTATATGTCTGTTCAGCCATAATTTATCTATTTCATATTAAGTGCACCCACACTTATTATATATAATTATGTTCAGGAGAACACATCAAATATTTATATATGAAACATAATTTAATATGAATAACATCTAAAAAAAAAAAAGTGGGAGAAATTAAGAAAATTTGTGCTGCATGGCATTTTAACTGTGAATGTCAGAGGTGGGACTAAGTCGTTGTTTTGCAAGTCAAAAGTCTTGCTAAACTTGCACTGTCCAAAAATGACAAAAAAAATATTAATGATAATACTACACATAATTACAGCAGCTAAATTACTCTTAGCAAGAAACTGGAAAGCAGAGATAATCCCAGACATTCAACAATTAATAACACAAATCATTTGGCAAGAAAGAATGGAAAGGGGTATCTTGGTGAACCTCCTGGTTCCCTCTCTGGTGTTTTGGGAACAGTGTACAGGGGAGGTTTGGATGAGTCTAGTTTAAGGATGCAGACCTTCTACCTCTCTTTGTAAATACCCTCTTCCCTACCTGTCCAGAGGTGGACACCAACCACATCTTATACGCCTGTTTTAACCCCTTAAGGACTGAGCCAAATATACACGTTATGATCAAAACAAAACGTAAACAAAAACTTGTATTTGCGCTATATGTCTGTTCAGGCGTAATTCGCCTCTTTTATATTATAAACGTCTTCTAAATCATTTTATTCAGGGGAAACAGGGCTTTCATTTAACATCAAATATTTAGGTATGAAACATAATGTAATATGACTAAAATATAAAAAAATGGTAGAAAATAAGAATTTTTAAAAATATTTTAGTTCTACGTGACATTTTAACTGTGAATGTCATAATACTGTTTGCTTTTACTGCAATAAAATACACATATTTGTATTCAGCGATGTCTCGTGTAAAACAGTCCCCCCTATGTACAGATTTTGTGGTGTTTTGGGAAGTTACAGGGTCAAATATAGCATGTTACATTTCTCTTTTTTTCACATTGAAATTCGCCAGATTGGTTACTTTGCCTTTGAGACTGTATGGTAGCCCAGGAATGAGACAACCCAAGGAATTGCAAATGGGGTATAAGTGGAGTATCTCTTACAAAAATCTTTGTATCGAGAGATAGAGGGAAAAAGACCAGAAAAAAAACAAAACTCTAGAACTGGATAAATATAGGAATTCACCAAAAACCTATTAAAGACAAGATAAATGGGATCTGCTGCACAGGAGGTGTAGTAGTAAAAAATCCAGGAGCTGATAAATATTAAAGGATAGTAATTGCAGGAAATCGGATAAATAGAAAATTGTGTATATACACAAACTATATATGTATGGCAGAGTTATCTCATAACCCAGAAAACAGAATTCTGGAAAAGGGATAATATGTGCCAAATAATATACTTTCTACCTATGGAGGAAGAAAATAAATGATTGAGTAAACTATCACTTAATACAATGTGATAGGGAAATGTCTGTAGTTGGCAAAAAGCCAGTACATAGAGCTGGCTGCCCTGAGCAATAGATAAAATGTATCGCCAAAGAATAAGTTAAAAAGTAACAAAAATTTATTGAAACATGAAAATATATTAAAAGTAAGTCCACATAGAGAGCAATAGAAGTGAGGAGGGTAAAATATACACAGTAACCTTAAGCACCGGCACGGATGGATTCAGATTGCGATGTTGGTGCAGTAGCTGGCATCTGGTGACCGGTGAGGTCGGTCTGCGTTCCACAGTTCGTTCCACCCCGAGCCTCACTTCGGGGGAGCTGCGCTGCTGATCAGATGTTGCGATCAGAACACCAGTGATCGGGAGAGTTGTCGGGCTGCTGTGCTGACACCTCCTATCTCTCGTCTTTGTGTGGACAATCTGTAACCTCGAGCTTCGTCTGACGCGTTTCGTAGGGGTTGCCCTACTTCCTCAGAGACATCTGCATTCACTCCCTTATGGAGATGCTTATATACCACTCTCTCTATCCCCAATTGGTTAATTGAAGGATGAGTACATCGTGATGCATTCAATATATCGCTTTGGCTGTGATACATACATTATACAAATAAAATAAACAATGTATACATACATATAAATAAATAAATATTTTATATAATATATACATATATATGAGAAGAATTATATTCATGACATTAATCAAAAATTGTGTACATAAATGAAACTGATGAAAATGTTTATTACACTAAAATCTCAATAAAATATCAATTTGCAGCTGCTGTTTTTATCTAAAAATAAATAAATGAATTAATATCCTACATAAATCTTATGTCACATTAGATGGTCATACCCTAAATGTACAGTAGAGCAATAGCACAATGTTTACTTATTAGAAATGCATATCATTCAAAAATTGCTTTACTGTTTGTAGGGTTACTTCTTTTATGCATTTGCTGTTGTCTGTAACGAAATCAAAATCATATTAGTCATTGAGTCTCATATAAGGTGCTCCTTCAGTGTATATACAGGATAGATGAATCTAGATATATGTAACAAAAACAGAATAGAAATAAGCAAAAAATAAATAAATAAATATAAATAAAAATAAAGTAAAAATAAATATAAATATAAAAATACAAACAGATGTAAAAATCAAAATAAGAACGGTTAAAAAACGATGATATAAGGAAACGATATATGATTTTAAAAATAAGATAAAACAATAAAAAATAAATAAATAAAAATAAAATGAAAAAATAGTAAAAATAAAATACAATAAAAATAAAAATATAAAAATGAAAAATTGCCACATAGAATTTAAAATGGATTGATATATATACACTAAATGGAGTCTTATAAAAATGCATTTAATTCAAAATCTATATTGAGACCATGAGGGGTTAGAGTGTTGAGGGAAAATATCCATTTGGTTTCAGTTTGATCCAAATTGATATCTATACTCCCTCCTCTCCAATGTACATCCACCTTTTCTATGGCCATAAAGGTTAGTCCTGTTGGGTCTGCATTATGTGTTTCTTTGAAATGTTTTGATAAATTGTGGGTTAATAGGCCTCTCTTAATATTTCTAATATGTTCTGCAACTCTAGTTTTAAGGAGTCTTTTCGTCCGTCCCACATATTGTTTATTACAGGGACATGTAATAAGATATATTACGCCCCGAGTATCACAGTTCATATTGGTCATAATTTTGTATTCTTTTGAGTCATAAGATGATTTAAACTTGTTATTTCTTATATCTGTTTT